TTGTTTTTGATACAAAGTTCCCTTTCCATAAAAAAGTCTATGTATTTGCAGATAAGTAATTAAAGAAGAGATTGGTGTGCAGGTGTTCAACCTATTTAATGATTTGTAACCAATCAGGATGAGGAAGTGTGCTGTAGATCCTACCGCACACATTAGCAAACCTTTTTCACGGTACTTTCCATAGCCCATAGTAGCGGTCCTACTAAATAGCATACAGGGGCCTCCGCGAGAAATCTCTCAATTGTTTCATGTCAGCTTTAAATGCAGGTTAAGTAGGACTTCTTTCAGTATCAATACTGAGTTTGTCCCAGGTATTGAGGGAATCAATGTTAAATGTTCTTTTGAAAGATGATGTTCCGTTTCTCAAATTATGACTGGATTTGTCGGATACATTTGTTGGAGTCAGTCAGATATACATGATGACCATTGATTATTAATTATCTTATTAATTATAATATGTAATGATGACCTTAACATACGTCTGAAATTACCATAAGATCTGCATTGTTGCACTGCATTATGGGCTGTCAGACGTCTGATGAAACCTCCCAGACAAATGCGGTCATTTCCAGATCCTCTTGGACCTTAAATACTATAACTCCCTGGTAGAAACATGGAATAACTGATATTAATCGATGAACAGAAGAGGGCATATGGTAACCAGCGCTGACATGATTAGGACTCGGAAGGCCACATTGGATGCCTGTGTTATCTGACGTGAAAGGAAAGATGGGTGGCACTTGAGAGTTGTGTCCCTTTGCAAGTCAAGCATCGAGCTCCTCATAGCGATAGCCTCTTCGCGGAGCTCTCTATACTATCTCCGCTACCAGTCAAAGCTCACCACTGTGATAGGTGGCTACAACCATGCTTGGAGTTGAACTCGCAGCTGACCCGACCATTATGTTTACAAACAAGTGACCTAACACCTAATACTCTTACCCCTGATAGAATCTAGAACCAATCTGATCAAACAAACAAAAAGGTAAATTCATTTGGTTGGTTAGTTTGTTGTTTAACGCCGCACTCAGCAATAGTCCAGCTAAATGACGGAGGTCTGTAAATAATTGTGTCTGGAACAGACAATCCAGTGATTAATGGTCAGTCGTGAATCTTTTTAAAATTCACTATGATGGCATTCCCAAAGACATACAGAAGTATAACCACTGCTACATTTGGGCTATGAGGGCAAGTTTCAAGATTCTTGCAATGGCCGCGCCCACACTGTTATCAGGAATGTTTCCGGGAGTGTAACGAAGGTGTCGCTCACTAAGGAGGAACTTGGTCAAGCCTGATCCTGGCCACCAATTTCTCACTTCTTCAGTCCAAGATGGATAGTGCAATAAAGAGGAATGATGAAATGACACGAAAATCACCTTTACTATTTATAAATCTAGTAGACCGCCTCCATGGTCTAGTGGTAGAGCGTCCGCCCAGAGACCGCCTCCGTGGTCTAGTGGTAGAGTGTCCGCCCAGAGACCGCCTCCGTGGTCTAGTGGTAAAGTGTCCACCTAGAGACCGCCTCCGTGGTCTAGTGGTAGAGTGTCCGCCCAGAGACCGCCTCAGTGGTCTAGTGGTAGAGTGTCCACCCAGAGACCGCCTCCGTGGTCTAGTGGTAAAGTGTCCACCTAGAGACCGCCTCCGTGGTCTAGTGGTAGAGTGTCCGCCCAGAGACCGCCTCAGTGGTCTAGTGGTAGAGTGTCCGCCCAGAGACCGCCTCCATGGTCTAGTGGTAGAGCGTCCGCCCAGAGACCGCCTCCGTGGTCTAGTGGTAGAGTGTCCGCCCAGAGACCGCCTCCGTTGTCTAGTGGTAGAGCGTCCGCCCAGAGACCGCCTCCGTGGTCTAGTGGTAGAGCGTCTGCCCAGAGAGTGGAAGGTATGGGGTTCAATACCCAGGTGCGTCATACCAAAAGACGTTAACAGATGGTACTTGTTGTTACCATGTCTGGCAATCAGCATAAAGGGGCTAAAACAAGGACTGGTCGGCTCGGAGTTAGTATACTGTGTCTGAGTGGGACATTCATGTTAAACTGCAGCATGGTATCTCAGTGAGCTATCACTATAAATCGGCATCAGTCCCGACTAGTACGCACGCACACACACACCAACATCGCTATATACCGGTAAGTGCAATATTCTGGGATGTGACTTTAAACCCAATTTCAGTACCTGCAAATCTAGTAAATATTGTGACACCATCAGTTCACCAATCGTCAGTGATTGCTGTTGAATGTAATTAAATAAGGTAACAAGTTACGGCATTTCATTATTTTACGTAACTGTCGGCTCGTGAAGAATGCTGATTCAGAAGAGACGTGTATGTTCTCCTTACTGAAGGAGGTCGGTGTCCAAGCTAAATCTGTCTATAAATGTGATTGAAGGGTTAAGTTTATTCTGGATTTGAAAGAAAAACTAGCAAAACCATCAACCTTCAAGGATGAATGAAGTTTATTACAAACTGAGCCAAAATTTACAATCACAATATATGTACAAAATTAGGACATTTCTACAATGCTAGCTGTCTGGCAATACATGAATGGTCAGTGTTAGCTCTTCGTATCAGAAAAAAATGGGAAGTTTGTAAAATCATCATTTCAACGATATTCCTGTCTATTGGAGACGAAAAGCTCCACCTCACTCTCATATTATATATTCAGATTGAATAATGGAAAAATAATTTTCTCTCAGAGAAAATTTGAGAAAACTGACTTAACTGTTAATATGGTGCCTCAGCAATGTCGCTCACCTCCATATGTAGGCAACAGGTTCAAATGTTGACAGCCACTTAAGAAATACTGTTGAAATATATACAGCATAAATACAAAATAAGCACAATGTATTGACTAAATGTTTACAGTGTTTCCAAGTCTGCAAGAATGAATGTTCTAGTGTAGAACATAGTTGCAATACACAATCAATAAATTTCCTTTAGAACACATAACACGCAGCTTAATCAGTGAGGATGTTTAACTGTTTGAAGATACTTGGCTAGTGTAGGATGTCCTCTCATCTGAGCTACACATTCAATGTCCTCATTACTGTCTGTTAGAAGTGTGAGGTCAGCTTTATGCTGCACAAGGAGGTCAACCACATCTTTATGTCCATGGAATACAGCTTTCATCACAGGTGTGTATCCTTCACTCCCTCTAATGTTGATGTTAGATGGAGACAGGACATGTTGTACTATAGCAGTGTTCCCCCCATGACAGGCAAGATGAAGTAAACTATCACCATCTGCATCCACCAGTGTGAGGTCAGCTTGGTTGGACACCAGGAGGTCAAACACACTTTGATGTCCACTGACAGCTGCCCTCATTGCTGCTGTCCTTCCATACTCCCCTCTGCTGTTGATGTTAGAAGGTGTCAGGACATGTTTTACAATAGCAGTGTTCCCACCCTCACAGGCAAGATGAAGTAAACTATCACCATCTGCATCCACCAGTGTGAGGTCAGCTTGGTTGGACACCAGGAGGTCAAACACACTTTGATGTCCACTGACAGCTGCCCTCATTGCTGCTGTCCTTCCATACTCCCCTCTGCTGTTGATGTTAGAAGGTGTCAGGACATGTTGTACTATAGCAGTGTTCCCACCATGACAGGCAAGATGAAGTAAACTATCACCATCTGCATCCACCAGTGTGAGGTCAGCTTGGTTGGACACCAGGAGGTCAAACACACTTTGATGTCCACTGACAGCTGCCCTCATTGCTGCTGTCCTTCCATACTGCCCTCTGCTGTTGATGTTAGAAGGTGTCAGGACATGTTGTACAATAGCAGTGTTCCCACCACGACAGGCAAGGTGAAGTAAACTATCACCAGATATAGACACCAGTGTGAGGTCAGCTTGGTTGGACACAAGGAGGTCAAACACACTTTGATGTCCAGTGACAGCTGCCTTCATTGCTGCTGTCCATCCATATCTGCCTCTACTGTTGATGTTAGATGGAGACAGGATATGTTGTACTATAGCAGTGTTCCCACCCTCACAGGCAAGATGAAGTAAACTATCACCATCTGCATCCACCAGTGTGAGGTCAGCTTGGCTGGACACAAGGAGGTCAAACAAACTTTGATGTCCATTGACAGCTGCCCTCATTGCTGCTGTCCTTCCATACTCCCCTCTGCTGTTGATGTTAGAAGGTGTCAGGACATGTTTTACAATAGCAGTGTTCCCCCCCTGACAGGCAAGATGAAGTAAACTATCACCATCTGCATCCACCAGTGTGAGGTCAGCTTGGTTGGACACTAGGAGGTCAAACACACTTTGATGTCCACTGACAGCTGCCTTCATTGCTGCTGTCCTTCCATACTCCCCTCTGCTGTTGATGTTAGATGGAGACAGGACATGTTTTACAATAGCAGTGTTCCCCCCATGACAGGCAAGATGAAATAAACTATCACCATCTGCATCCACCAGTGTGAGGTCAGCTTGGTTGGACACCAGGAGGTCAAACACACTTTGATGTCCACTGACAGCTGCCCTCATTGCTGCTGTCCTTCCATACTGCCCTCTGCTGTTGATGTTAGAAGGTGTCAGGACATGTTTTACAATAGCAGTGTTCCCACCCTCACAGGCAAGATGAAGTAAACTATCACCATCTGCATCCACCAGTGTGAGGTCAGCTTGGTTGGACACCAGGAGGTCAAACACACTTTGATGTCCACTGACAGCTGCCCTCATTGCTGCTGTCCTTCCATACTCCCCTCTGCTGTTGATGTTAGAAGGTGTCAGGACATGTTGTACTATAGCAGTGTTCCCACCATGACAGGCAAGATGAAGTAAACTATCACCATCTGCATCCACCAGTGTGAGGTCAGCTTGGTTGGACACCAGGAGGTCAAACACACTTTGATGTCCACTGACAGCTGCCCTCATTGCTGCTGTCCTTCCATACTGCCCTCTGCTGTTGATGTTAGAAGGTGTCAGGACATGTTGTACAATAGCAGTGTTCCCACCACGACAGGCAAGGTGAAGTAAACTATCACCAGATATAGACACCAGTGTGAGGTCAGCTTGGTTGGACACAAGGAAGTCAAACACACTTTGATGTCCAGTGACAGCTGCCTTCATTGCTGCTGTCCATCCATATCTGCCTCTACTGTTGATGTTAGATGGAGACAGGATATGTTGTACTATAGCAGTGTTCCCACCCTGACAGGCAAGATGAAGTAAACTATCACCATCTGCATCCACCAGTGTGAGGTCAGCTTGGCTGGACACAAGGAGGTCAAACAAACTTTGATGTCCATTGACAGCTGCCCTCATTGCTGCTGTCCTTCCATACTCCCCTCTGCTGTTGATGTTAGAAGGTGTCAGGGCATGTTTTACAATAGCAGTGTTCCCACCCTCACAGGCAAGATGAAGTAAACTATCACCATCTGCATCCACCAGTGTGAGGTCAGCTTGGTTGGACACTAGGAGGTCAAACACACTTTGATGTCCACTGACAGCTGCCTTCATTGCTGCTGTCCTTCCATACTGCCCTCTGCTGTTGATGTTAGAAGGTGTCAGGACATGTTTTACAATAGCAGTGTTCCCACCCTCACAGGCAAGATGAAGTAAACTATCACCATCTGCATCCACCAGTGTGAGGTCAGCTTGGTTGGACACTAGGAGGTCATACACACTTTGATGTCCACTGACAGCTGCCCTCATTGCTGCTGTCCTTCCATACTCCCCTCTGCTGTTGATGTTAGAAGGTGTCAGGACATGTTTACAATAGCAGTGTTCCCACCCTCACAGGCAAGATGAAGTAAACTATCACCATCTGCATCCACCAGTGTGAGGTCAGCTTGGTTGGACACCAGGAGGTCAAACACACTTTGATGTCCACTGACAGCTGCCCTCATTGCTGCTGTCCTTCCATACTCCCCTCTGCTGTTGATGCTAGAAGGTGTCAGGACATGTTGTACTATAGCGTGTTCCCACCATGACAGGCAAGATGAAGTAAACTATCACCAGATATAGACACCAGTGTGAGGTCAGCTTGGTTGGACACAAGGAGGTCAAACACACTTTGATGTCCAGTGACAGCTGCCTTCATTGCTGCTGTCCATCCATATCTGCCTCTACTGTTGATGTTAGATGGAGACAGGATATGTTGTACTATAGCAGTGTTCCCACCCTCACAGGCAAGATGAAGTAAACTATCACCATCTGCATCCACCAGTGTGAGGTCAGCTTGGCTGGACACAAGGAGGTCAAACAAACTTTGATGTCCATTGACAGCTGCCCTCATTGCTGCTGTCCTTCCATACTGCCCTCTGCTGTTGATGTTAGAAGGTGTCAGGGCATGTTTTACAATAGCAGTGTTCCCACCCTCACAGGCAAGATGAAGTAAACTATCACCATCTGCATCCACCAGTGTGAGGTCAGCTTGGTTGGACACTAGGAGGTCAAACACACTTTGATGTCCACTGACAGCTGCCTTCATTGCTGCTGTCCTTCCATAATGCCCTCTGCTGTTGATGTTAGAAGGTGTCAGGACATGTTTTACAATAGCAGTGTTCCCCCCCTGACAGGCAAGATGAAGTAAACTATCACCATCTGCATCCACCAGTGTGAGGTCAGCTTGGTTGGACACTAGGAGGTCAAACACACTTTGATGTCCACTGACAGCTGCCTTCATTGCTGCTGTCCTTCCATACTCCCCTCTGCTGTTGATGTTAGAAGGTGTGAGGACATGTTTTACAATAGCAGTGTTCCCACCACGACAGGCAAGATGAAGTAAACTATCACCATCTGCATCCACCAGTGTGAGGTCAGCTTGGTTGGACACCAGGAGGTCAAACACACTTTGATGTCCACTGACAGCTGCCTTCATTGCTGCTGTCCTTCCATACTGCCCTCTGCTCTTGATGTTAGAAGGTGTCAGGACATGTTTTACAATAGCAGTGTTCCCCCCCTGACAGGCAAGATGAAGTAAACTATCACCATCTGCATCCACCAGTGTGAGGTCAGCTTCGTTGGACACTAGGAGGTCAAACACACTTTGATGTCCACTGACAGCTGCCTTCATTGCTGCTGTCCTTCCATACTCCCCTCTGCTGTTGATGTTAGAAGGTGTGAGGACATGTTTTACAATAGCAGTGTTCCCACCACGACAGGCAAGATGAAGTAAACTATCACCATCTGCATCCACCAGTGTGAGGTCAGCTTGGTTGGACACTAGGAGGTCAAACACACTTTGATGTCCACTGACAGCTGCCTTCATTGTTGCTGTCCTTCCATACTGCCCTCTGCTCTTGATGTTAGAAGGTGTCAGGACATGTTTTACAATAGCAGTGTTCCCCCCCTGACAGGCAAGATGAAGTAAACTATCACTATCTGCATCCACCAGTGTGAGGTCAGCTTGGTTGGACACTAGGAGGTCAAACACACTTTGATGTCCACTGACAGCTGCCCTCATTGCTGCTGTCCTTCCATACTCCCCTCTGCTGTTGATGTTAGAAGGTGTCAAGACATGTTTTACAATAGCAGTGTTCCCACCACGACATGCAAGATGAAGTAAACTATCACCAGATATAGACACCAGTGTGAGGTCAGCTTGGTTGGACACAAGGAGGTCAAACACACTTTGATGTCCATTGACAGCTGCCTTCATTGCTGCTGTCCATCCATGCATCCCTCTGCTGTTGATGTTAGATGGAGACAGGACATGTTGTACTATAGCAGTGTTTCCACCCTGACAGGCAAGATGAAGTAAACTGTCACCAGATGTATCCACCAGTGTGAGGTCAGCTTGGTTGGACACAAGGAGGTCAAACACACTTTGATGTCCAGTGACAGCTGCCTTCATTGCTGCTGTCCATGCATATCTGCCTGTACTGTTGATGTTAGATGGAGACAGGACATGTTGTACTATAGCAGTGTTCCCACCCTGACAGGCAAGATGAAGTAAACTGTCACCAGATGTAGACACCAGTGTGAGGTCAGCTTGGTTGGACACAAGGAGGTCAAACACACTTTGATGTCCAGTGACAGCTGCCTTCATTGCTGCTGTCCATCCATGTCTGCCTCTACTGTTGATGTTAGATGAAGACAGGACATGTTGTACTATAGCAGTGTTCCCACCACGACAGGCAAGATGAAGTAAACTGTCACCATATGTATCCACCAGTGTGAGGTCAGCTTGGTTGGACACAAGGAGGTCAAACACACTTTGATGTCCCGTGACAGCTGCCTTCATTGCTGCTGTCCATCCATGTCTGCCTCTACTGTTGATGTTAGATGGAGACAGGACATGTTGTACTATAGCAGTGTTCCCACCACGACAGGCAAGATGAAGTAAACTATCACCATCTGCATCCACCAGTGTGAGGTCAGCTTGGTTGGACACTAGGAGGTCAAACACACTTTGATGTCCACTGACAGCTGCCTTCATTGTTGCTGTCCTTCCATACTGCCCTCTGCTCTTGATGTTAGAAGGTGTCAGGACATGTTTTACAATAGCAGTGTTCCCCCCCTGACAGGCAAGATGAAGTAAACTATCACCATCTGCATCCACCAGTGTGAGGTCAGCTTCGTTGGACACTAGGAGGTCAAACACACTTTGATGTCCACTGACAGCTGCCCTCATTGCTGCTGTCCTTCCATACTCCCCTCTGCTGTTGATGTTAGAAGGTGTCAGGACATGTTTTACAATAGCAGTGTTCCCACCACGACAGGCAAGATGAAGTAAACTATCACCAGATATAGACACCAGTGTGAGGTCAGCTTGGTTGGACACAAGGAGGTCAAACACACTTTGATGTCCATTGACAGCTGCCTTCATTGCTGCTGTCCATCCATGCATCCCTCTGCTGTTGATGTTAGATGGAGACAGGACATGTTGTACTATAGCAGTGTTTCCACCCTGACAGGCAAGATGAAGTAAACTGTCACCAGATGTATCCACCAGTGTGAGGTCAGCTTGGTTGGACACAAGGAGGTCAAACACACTTTGATGTCCAGTGACAGCTGCCTTCATTGCTGCTGTCCATGCATATCTGCCTGTACTGTTGATGTTAGATGGAGACAGGACATGTTGTAGTATAGCAGTGTTCCCACCCTGACAGGCAAGATGAAGTAAACTGTCACCAGATGTATCCACCAGTGTGAGGTCAGCTTGGTTGGACACAAGGAGGTCAAACACACTTTGATGTCCAGTGACAGCTGCCTTCATTGCTGCTGTCCATCCATGTCTGCCTCTACTGTTGATGTTAGATGAAGACAGGACATGTTGTACTATAGCAGTGTTCCCACCACGACAGGCAAGATGAAGTAAACTGTCACCATATGTATCCACCAGTGTGAGGTCAGCTTGGTTGGACACAAGGAGGTCAAACACACTTTGATGTCCACTGACAGCTGCCTTCATTGCTGCTGTCCATCCATGTCTGCCTCTACTGTTGATGTTAGATGAAGACAGGACATGTTGTACTATAGCAGTGTTCCCACCCTGACAGGCAAGATGAAGTAAACTGTCACCATATGTATCCACCAGTGTGAGGTCAGCTTGGTTGGACACAAGGAGGTCAAACACACTTTGATGTCCACTGACAGCTGCCTGCATCACTGCTGTCCATCCATACTCAACTCTGCTGTTGATGTTAGATGGAGACATGACATGTTGTACTATAGCAGTGTTCCCACCATGACAGGCAAGATGAAGTAAACTGTCACCAGATGTAGACACCAGTGTGAGGTCAGCTTGGTTGGACACAAGGAGGTCAAACACACTTTGATGTCCACTGACAGCTGCCATCATCACTGCTGTCCATCCATACTCATCTCTGCTGTTGATGTTAGATGGAGACATGACATGTTGTACTATAGCAGTGTTCCCACCACGACAGGCAAGATGAATAATTCCGATGCCATGTATATCTTTCACATTCAAATTTGATGTTGTCTGCAGTAACTTAAAACATCCCTCTGTTCCCGTGTGTGCTGCAACCATGACAGGGGTCCTGCCATTCACATCAACAGAGTTTATAACATTATTCCCAGGTTTCCTGGTTAACAGGACTTTCAGGGTTTTTTCCATTCCTGATTTACAGACAAGATGGAAGATGTTTTGCATTCCCTTGTCTATTGTGTTAATATCAGCGCCTTCCTGCAGCAGATACACTAGTATGTCAGAGCTGCCACTTTCAGCAGCTACCAACAAAAGTCTGTTCAGTGTCAACTGATGGTCATGTTTCTCACTCCTGCTGAACAGCCATTTCAGTGCTGTCATGTTGTTGCTTTGTGCACATCCTTGCATGGCCTCACTGATTTCTCCTTGAGTGAACTCTTCTCCAGTTGTGTGTTCTATATCTGTAAATAGACGTGCATTATGTCCAAGAACTGCCCAGTACAGGAGACCTTGTCCTTTCTCTTTCTTGTGAAACCAAAGATGTTTTGTCCGATCACAATGAAGTTTCTTGAGCAGCTTGAAAACTGTGGCGTCTTGTTTGAGAATTGGATGTGTCACTGATTTAGAAAACCGTCCTTGTTTAATAGACTGTGTAAACCTTGTGGTAAGTAGGTCATCATAATTCTCTGAGACATATATCAAATGGAGATGATCATCAACTTTGGTTTCTCCAACCTTGTCACCTTGTACCCTTTCAAACAGAAAGTCATCACTGCAGTGCTTCAAAACAAAGTTTGGACTGATATTGTACAAGGCACACGCACAAGCATCATAGATTGAAGAATGAGCAAAGCCAACAGTGTCTCCTCTTGTGAAGAATGTACCTCTCAAACCTTTAGCTGCTTTGTACATGCCTGAACGTGTAGCGTCAGACATCATCTGTAAAACAGTTTTGACCAGGCTGTCCATTTCCTTATCCTCACCTTCACTGTCTAACTTGCTCAGGTCCAATTTGTCTTCACACAGTAGCATCAGAACCAGAATGGCCGATCGGTCATTTCTCTCTTCAAGCAAATGCTTTAGCTCTAACCTGAGATAAAACAGTGGTTCCTTGAAAAATGATTTTGCATTTTTGTAGAAGGTTGAAAATTCAAAACAAAGTTTACAAATAAGAGGGAATCCAAAGATATTTGAACAGATTTCCAGCTCACTGTAATCAGGTATATGTTGCATGGAGCAGTCACCGAGAGCTTTCCTATGTCGTTCAAATATTGTCTTTTTCTCTTTGTCAGAAAGCCAGTATTTATCTTGTGTGGTTAAATCCATTACAGTTTGACCTTTGAACATTTTGAAACCCTCGTACTGCAGTTTTGCAAGTCCATCATGGAAGTTGTATGACTTTGATGTGAAGACAACACGAATATCTTTTGTTTGAAATTCTGGTTGACTCTGCACTTTCTTTCTGGATTTACCAACAGCATCACTATCTTTTGTTTGAAATTCTGGTTGACTCTGCACTTTCTTTCTGGATTTACCAACAGCATCACTAGCTTTTGTTTGAAATTCTGGTTGACTCTGCTCTTTGTTTCTGGATTTACCAACAGCATCAGTGCTTTCATGCATTTCTGACTGCAGCTTTTCCGCACTCCCCTTTTGTTCTAAATGGAGGAGAAGGTTGTTTAGAAAGGTTTTCACCTGTGATGTATTCGCAGATAATCCAACAGTACCAAACATGTCATCTACTATGAGGAATACTCTGGGGTGGCTACTAAGACACTGGTCTAAGTCAAACTTCTCAATGTTGTCCACAAACACGACCTCGTAGCCTTTGTCTCTGTACTGTGAACCTAACACAAGAGCCATCGTTGTCTTGCCTTCTCCCGAAGCCCCGCAGATGGTCACATGTCCAAATGCCTCCAATTTTTGTTTCACGTCTTTGTAGGGTTCAGTTGGAAGAAAAATCTTCTTTGCTTCGTCTGTGCGCAAATCAAGGGTACCTGTGGAGGAATGAAAACTATTAACCATCCCAGCAAATACTTGGATGTTAAAATTAAACTACAAAATAATTGCTAACTAAATCTTCTTGTGTTAATTATTAGGGGGAACAATTCATCTGGATTATACATCACACAGATGTGTTCCTGACTTAGTGTACACAACTATATTCATATTTTATAGCCCTCTTCATTCAGTCTTGTTAATAATGGCAATGTTTGCCATTTTGCCAGTTTCAACCCTCTTCAACAAATTCAACCAAATTTAAATCTAAACTTTTACTCTGATACAATACCTCTCTGTGTTAAGCACTTACGCCACCTCCATAGGAGGTCACATCATCAGAAAATAAGCACTGATCTGCTCTGAGAAGTGTTTAACAGAGTCTGGCACAACATCATTGTCAATACTTCTGGAGTTAGTATACACTACTCCATCACCCATTACTACATGAGGGTGGCATTTGGGACAAGGGGAATAAAATTCTGATTGATGATCGGCACCACCTTCTCGCTGAGAATGGTAAGAGTCTTGCACAAGATCTAGTAGTTTACTGACCCTTCAGCCATGAACACTCACCTCTCCCAAGTGTTCCTTGTCCGGCCTGTCCAGTGATGATGTTCAGAGTGTTCGCCACCTGGAAGCCACCTGAAGGATGGTCACCTGTCAACACCAATATATGAGGAATCATCGGTAACCAACATTTGAATTGATCAGATATTCTCTTTACACATTGAATAACATCATTTAATTTTATTGCAGTGCTCAAGAGTGGAGTGTACATCATTTTGAAGTTTTAGGTTCTTTAGATAATAATCTTATCCCAGCAATAACAATTGCTTTAGACCAAAACATGTAAATCATGAATCAAGTTAATAAGCTACACATTAAGTTCAGCAGATAAGTAATTCTTGAATCATCTTCAACAGGTAATAGCCAAGTTCATTATTACCCGAATGAGAGAAGGGGAGAGAGAGGGATGGGGTTCATTACATTTGATCAAGAAATAATAAATGGTCTTTGAGTTATGCTCCGGAAATAAACCCTGGCCTCATCTATCTGAACCTACACTCAATTTATTGTGATGGAAACCAAACGAAGAAATTTCAAAAACTTCTAAATAGTAAAAGGCACCTGTCAGTTCAAGGTTAGATACTGTGCAACATTTGATCAAGAACTATGGAACAGTCTTTCACAAACAGGCAGACAGCAGCGATTCCAATATACCGCTACCACTTCATGGCGGGGATGACAAGTACGGAATGTGATATTTGGAAGGATGGACAGACAGTACCGATTCCACTGCCTGGAAGGGATAACACGTATGGAATAAGTAATTTTTGCATGATGATTGCAACAGAAACAAGAAAGAAAGTTAACAAAGGTCACATACCCGCGTTATCCCCGCTGGTCAACAAAAAATAGTAAATAGTTTGTTAATTAATGAAATATACCTGTTGCTTTAAGTCAGAGGAACTGCCCTTTCCTTTGCAACCCCATGAGGATGCATCATGTTTGAAATGAACGCATGTTTTTGCAAATATATTTCAATCTAGTGTGGGATAACCAATGGTTAGCACAACATACTTTCTTGATGCTTCTTAATGTGTCCATGGAAACGGCAAAAATTAAAAAATTCAGAATCCTCAAACTAGCAAAAGACACAAGTACCCATTGTGGTAAATGTGTGTAGCAAGTTTGGTGCATGGTTAAAAAGTTATTGGCCGTACAAAAGCTCGGACGGAAGGACGGACGGATGGAAGAAAGGACAAACAGATGGAACGCTAAGTCTCATCTTTCCTTGTAGACAAGAAACAGCCACTTTATCAACGTTTCTAGAAGGCCCCAGTAATCAAAATATACCACCACACAAAGTGCCTCCACAACCTCATACCAGATCGAAGCACCTTGACATCCATTACACAGCACAACGCAATATTCCTCCACAACCTCATACCAGACTCAAGCACCTTGACAATCAGTACACACCACCACGCAATGTGCCTCCACAACCTCATACCAGACTCAAGCACCTTGACAATCAGTACACACCACCACACAATGTGCCTCCACAACCTCATAACCAGATTGAAGCACCTTCACAATCATTGCACACCACCACGCAATGTGCCTCCACAACCTCATACCAGACTCAAGCACCTTGACAATCAGTACACACCACCACACAATGTGCCTCTACAACCTAATACCAGACTCAAGCACCTTGACAATCAGTACACACCACCACACAATGTGCCTCCACAACCTCATACCAGATTCAAGCACCTTGACAATCAGTACACACCACCACACAATGTGCCTCTACAACCTCATACCAGACTCAAGCACCTTGACAATCAGTACACACCACCACACAATGTGCCTCCACAACCTCATACCAGACTCAAGCACCTTGACAATCAGTACACACCACCACGCAATGTGCCTCTACAACCTCATACCAGACTCAAGCACCTTGACAATCAGTACACACCACCACACAATGTGCCTCCACAACCTCATACCAGACTCAAGCACCTTGACAATCAGTAAACACCACCACGCAATATTCCTCCACAACCTCATACCAGACTCAAGCACCTTGACAATCATTACACATCACCACGCAATGTGCCTCTACAACCTCATACCAGACTCAAGCACCTTGACAATCAGTATACACCACCACACAATGTGCCTCCACAACCTCCTACCAGATTGAAGCACCTTGACAATCATTACACATCACCACGCAATGTGCCTCTACAACCTCATACCAGACTCAAGCACCTTGACAATCATTACACACCACCACACAATGTGCTTCCACAACCTCATACCAGACTGAAGCGCTTTGACAATCAGTACACACCACCACACAATGTGCCTCCACAACCTCATACCAGATTGAAGCACCTTGACAATCATTACACACCACCACTCAATGTGCCTCTACAACCTCATACCAGATTGATGCACTTTGACAATCATTACACACCACCACACAATGTGCCTCTACAACCTCATACCAGATCGAAGCACCTTGACAATCAGTACACACCACCACACAATGTGCCTCTACAACCTCATACCAGACTCAAGCACCTTGACAATCAGTACACACCACCACACAATGTGCCTCTACAACCTCATACCAGATTGATGCACCTTGACAATCATTACACACCACCACACAATGTGCCTCTACAACCTCATACCAGATTGAAGCACTTTGACAATCATTACACACCACCACACAATGTGCCTCTACAACCTCATAACCAGATTGAAGCACCTTGACAATCATTGCACACCACCAAGTAATGTGCCTCTACCACTAACCACTAGTAAATGTGGAATTCTGTATGTAATGAGTCAACAGTTGAATGTTCTTTAAGAAGCATACATTGTTTACCAACTGAATGGTTTTCGAATTCTGACCTGGAAATCAACCCGTTCCCCAATGGAGTCTAGGTCCAACTTCTTTCCATAAAAATTGTAAAAAATAAAAATTCGTAAAAAACAAATATCAAAAGGCACCACTTCAGTATGTGCCTGATAGCTTTGTCAAGTTTCGATCAAATACACTGAATGGTTTTCAAATTCTGCCCCTGTAACGAACCCCATCCCCAATTGATTCTATGTCCAACTTCATTCCATAAAAACGTATATATTTTTTTTTAGAAAAATCCCAAAATATCAAAAGGCACTACTTCAGTATGTGCCTGACAGATTTGCCAAGTTTCAATCAAATACACTGAATGGTTTTCGAATTCTGCCCCGGAAAAGGAAATGATTACGGACGGACAGACAGACTGGCTGATTGCTATTAGAGGTGTAACGATATGGGAGGGTCGCGATACAATGCCTATCGCGATGCAGTGTTTACTGGTACAAGCTAAGCCAAGTTGATGTCTTTCTGCTATCTAAAAGATGTGACAAGTACAGTTGAAGAAGATATAAGGTGTTTATTTACTGTAAATAGCAAATTGTCAGCAATACAGTATGTTTTACTGAAACAACAAACTGGCTTTGAAACTGTTAAGCGTATTTCATGGGCGCGCACCCCCCCCCCCCCCCCCCCCTCCCCCCTTTTTATTTCGAAAAAAAAATCTTTATTTCTGTATAAATTACCACCAAAGACAATAAATAGATCTTACCTGTGCACCCCCCCTTTACAAAAAAGCTGTATCCGCCCATGTATTTCATGTATTTTCTTGAGTATAGCGCGCACCAATGTATAATGCGCACGCCCCTCTTGCGGGTTCAATATTTTGGAAAAAAAGAAATTTGAATATTATGCGCAGAAAAAATTTACATTGTACCCCTTCAGCGAAGTCCGGCAAACGAACGGGTGATGAGAAACTTTGTCAGTACAAGTTCTAAATTTGAGATAAAAAATCACCAGACATGTTGATTTACCGTTTAAATTGTATTTTTTGTTCAGCTAGGCATTGTTTTATATCCAGGGATTAAGATTACCTTGTGTATTTTCTCGTAAACTAAGTGGGACACAGCAATCAGCTGTACATGTACACACGTTTTCTTGGAATATACCGGTGATTCGGTCAAGACACACCCAATGATATTCCAATATATTGTTAATTTAGATGCAGCTTTTAATAAACATATTTAAAATTATAATAACCCTAAGCGAAGCAGCTGATCGCTATTCCCGGGTATTATTTTTTACATGGAACCAGTCTGACCCTTCACCGTCAAGGCTCCCGTGATCGTGAGAATTACGTGTTGACATAGAATCGTGCAACAAAAACAAATCTGACTTTTAACGAATCAAAGTATGGCATTTATGATATATGTATCAATTCTCTGTCAACAAAAATTCCTTTCAAGGCGTCAATAGCGGTAATCTGACCGTGGTTGCTGTTAATAACGGTGAGTTGTGCGATCTTCCGATCGCTTCACACACGATTTCGCCGAAAATAATTAAAACAATATTAAAAGGAATTTTGAATAAAATTAATGAAATAAGTTACAAACATGAGTCCAGATATACAAAGAAAACTTTTTTATAGCCAGACAGTGTAATTACATGAATAATTTGCGAACTTCAGTATGGATTTGTTGACATGGTATTTCCGGTGTTACGTGCTCACGGTAATGTCTTTCCATGGGGGAAAAACATCAAAACTCATTAATTCGTGTATAATGCGCAACCCCTTCTACACAGCTGTGTATTTTGGAAAAAAAAGTGAGCACTATACTCAAGAAAATATGGTAGGTAAAACTGTGTTATGAATATATCGTATGTATCGCGATACATGATTTCCAAGTCGATGCATCGTATCGTGGGCTGTGCATCGGGATACAATACTCTATTCGCCGTATTACATCACTAATTGCTATATCCCCCTCGCATTATATGCCTGGGATATAAATGTGCCTCTACAACCTCATACCAGATTGAAGCACCTTGACAATCATTGCACACCTCAACGCAATGTGCCTCCACAACCTCATACCAGATTGAAGCACCTTGACAATCATTACACAACACCACACAATGTGCCTCTACAACCACATACCAGATTGAAGCACCACCACACAATGTGCCTCTACAACCTCATACCAGATTGAAGCACCTTGACAATCATTACACACCACCACACAATGTGCCTCTACAACCTCATACCAGACTGAAGCGCCTTGACATTCATTACACACCACCACTTAATGTGCCTCTACAACATCATACCAGATCGAAGCACCTTGACAATCATTGCACACCACCACACAATGTGCCTCCACAACCAGATTGAAGCACCTTGACTCTAGCTTACATACTGAGAAACCTACAGGCCCTCGGGAGGATATGTACTAAATTTGAGGATGACTAATCAATGTGTGCATGCGTGCACGTCCGAGCTACATAACACTACTTTATTTTTCCTATATTTTTAAGAGATGGACATAATTCACTTGATGAATCAAATTGTAAATAGTGTTCCTGGGTAAATTATTTTAAAAATGACAAACAGGGTGACATTTTGGGGGGCAACAGTGACACCCACCTGTTCTTAATCTTTTCACTGGTGGCTGGCTCACTAGCTCAAGGTCCTCCTCGGTCTCAGCTGAACCAGCCAATACCAGGTGACCTCCAGGTTCCTCGTCTGAACTGACCACGCTGTTTCCAGAGTCATCCTCTGTTGTGAAGATTTCCCCAGCTGAACTTGCCATGTCAACATCAGAAATAGCCAAATGTCCTTGAGGCTCAGAAGTGTCCATGTGACCTTCAGACTGCTCACCAGAAGTTGCCATTTGACCTTCAGACTGCTCACCAGAAGTAGCCATGTGACCTTCAGACTGCTCACCTGAAGTTGCCATTTGACCTTCACACTGCTCACCAGAAGTAGCCATGTGACCTTTAGACTGCTCACCAGAAGTTGCCATTACCAGATGGTGTCCACAGTCTTCATCTGTACTGGCCATCACAGTTCTCTTCACATCGCCATGCACTATCTGTGAAAATGGAGGGGAATCTAATCAAGCTGTGACAATAAGTGAAGCCAGTCCGACATCATTGTGTCATGGGTACTGTAGCTCACCAGCTGTATATCAAGATTGCAGGTCATCATTTCAGTATCCCATTTGGGTTTTCATGGTTAAAACTTTACTTACAACACACTTTTTATAATGTCCTCTGTATTGAGCAGAGATTTCTTTCATTAGGAAAAGGGTTTTGTTGTTTATATTTACAAAAACATTGGTATTTTTCATTCTCACAATGCATCCTCCTATCTCATTTATGAACACTGTCCATGATATAACAAGAGTACCACACGTTCAGAACATTCTTCTTTGATGTAACATTTGAGGAGAATCAAAGAATTTGTGATAACTTCTTTGAAATGACCTCCTAATTTGTTTAATATGCTGACAAAAGAGTAATGAGTGCTATGTCATATTCCAAAGTCCTATTTCTCTGGTGTCTACAGACACCCAGAAATATTCACAGTAACTGTCCAAAAAATGAAAGACTATCTGTAAAAAAAATACATTCCACGTCAAACCAAGAATCATTTTTTTAAATATAACGTATCCTAATATAATTGGTTGATTTACATTAGTTTTTTTCTTTTTTATGGTATTATTATTGCATGTCTACCAAAGATAAATTCCAGATTCCAGATGAAGCCTTCTCATAGTAATTATTGTGCATGCAAGGGTTCAGCTTTCTGTCTTGGGATTGCCGAGGGTCAAAATTCATTCGTGGTTGTGAAACATACTTGACAAAGTTCAGCTTCCTCAGTTTTGGAAGTGATGAGTTTAACTGGGCCAAAAATACATTTGAAAGGACATGGTCATAACGTAAGACCATCTCCTTGGTCTAGAGGTAGAGCGTCAGTGGTTCGATCCCTGGCTGTATCCTACCAAAAGACATTAAAAGAAGGTACTTGTCACTCGGCCCGACACAGTAAGGGGCTAAAACAAGGACTGGACAGCTTGGGTCAGTATATTGTTTCTGAGTGGTGTATTCATGTTAAACTGCGGATTGGTATCTAGAGGGTTAGCACTATAAAATCAGCATTAGTCCGGAGTAGTACAACCACACGCACATGCACATACACAATTTGGGACGTGACGTTAAACACCATTTCACCTCACATCAAAATATGAAGGTTAACCAAGGTCAAAATGTACAATATCAGAAAAACAGAACTTTTGAGTGTCAAAAATTGGATTTCAACGTCTTGAACATATTGGGATGTCATCAAGCTTCAATTCAATCAGTGTCACACCAGAGAAGATATTCAGGAAGCACAACAGACAAGGACAAACAGACTGACCTCAAAATGGCGGCCGTGCTCAAAGTTCGATGAACATTTTTGTGAGCACTTTATAGGACTGAGACACAATAGCTTGTATGATTCATGCAAAGTTTCAGATTCATATGTTTGGCAGTGTAACGACAGATGGACCAACGGCGGCACAACGCTCACAAAATGAACTCAACATCCCGAGACACTGTCTGAAATCTGCTTGAACATTTCTGTATGCTCATGCTTCACTCCGGACGTTTTGTCGGCATGCCTACGTGTCTGTTACACAGACTCAGATTACAGTGTACATATTACCAGCTGATAATATAATACTATACTAAATATACTCACGGAACACTAAGTCTTCAACATGTTGAGAAGTGGGAGACTGGTACTTGAAACAGCATCCTGATTGGTCTACCTGTACTTCCGTTGCAGTGCGCGGTGGAGCGAATCCTACTTTCGCTTTCACTTTCAGCATCTTGCTCGATATACAGCAACAAGAAGTTCGCGTCCCGTCCTAAATATGATACCATCATATCAATTGTCCTTCTCTTACTGCCATTAAAAAGTTTTTTCGTGAGTTCATTTTTCAAAACTGGCTTTTTGCTCGCTTTTCTTAAAGAAAACTGAAAAACGGGAATACCCAAACTATTAATAGCTTCGTCCCGCAGTGTATAGTAATAGTTAATTCCAATGGTTGTTATTACAGATACAGCCTGGTTCCCTTGGTATGCTACGCTGGCGCTACACTATGCCAATATAGTGTTATATAAGAGACGGGACCCAGCTTACACTATGTAGCGCCAGCGCGGCATACCCAGGGAACCAGGCTGTTTCAACTTACTGAATGAAGAGATGGAACCCAGCTTCTGGCCAACACTCCACATTGACTGGTTCCGGTTCGTTCCTGCACGGACCAAAATTATATAGGCCCGTAGTTACTGAGAAGACAAATATAGAGAAAACAAACTAACACGATCAGTAAACGAAAATTGCCAAAACACTTCGCCCCATTTTCCACAAACCTGTTTCCGTGTTTTATCTGTGCCGCATAATCGGCTCATGAAACAGGACTCGTTTGCGAAATTCATGCTTATTCATTGTCCAAACGACCTTTGAGGCGGATTCGATATTCGATTTATTGATACTAGTATCTAAAGTCATTAAGTGATATCAATATGTAGGGAGGAAATAGTAAAATGGCGCCCATTGCTAACAATCATTGTTGCCTAGGGAGTTTGTGGAAACAAGGTTTGTGCGTGATTTGTTGTCTCGCGGAAATAAATATTTTGCCAATAACTGTTGAATTCTAAAACTTGTTGCAGCGTATCCATATATTTGTTCTTTGTTATAACGTGTGGTACATGCGGAATTATATGCACCGTCGTAGGTACACGTAGATAAAGTTAGTTCTACACAATGTAACATGGAAAATGTCGTCCGTTTACATTCACTTTCTATACCATAAGCACGGCCTTCAGAGAAACGTTCTATTTGTCGATACATAATATTGATCTATACCAGTCCACTTTTGGTAGGGATATTTGTATATTTCCATTATACACAAAACTCATTCTCATAATAATCATTGTTGCCTGAGGATTTTGTTTGAACAAAACACTTTTTGTGCGTGAATTTGTGTCTTGCGGAAACTATCTAGATTTTTTTATTGATTTTTATTATACATGAGATATAGACAATCATATGATTCGATTCCCAACATGGGCAGAAAGTGTGAAGCCCATTTCTGGTGTCCCCCGTCGTGATATTGCTAGAATATTGCTAAAAGCAACGTAAAATCATACTCACTCACTGATTCCCTATTGGTCCTGTTTTTCAGTGAAGTACAAGTCAGATCTTCAAAGCCTTAAACATTTGTTAAAACCACTTTAACAGCAAGTGGGAAACCTTACTGACAGTTGCTGCAGATTTGAGCTGAGCAGGTCTACAGCTACATCAATGGTGACACCATGCTAAAAGCCCAATATTCCAGATGCCAAAACAACTATAATAGTTAATGTTGTGATTCATTCTAAAACTTAATAAATACATTTTGAACAAAGCCAGTAAGTGTACATCATATATCTGATAATTCTTATCTTCCAGCAGTAGGCTTGTGTTATCCTATTATTACAAGCAGATTCTATTTTTGACTTAACATAATGGGGGCGGTTTAGGTAGCCAAATGGTAAAAGCATTCACTCGTCACGCCGAAGACCCTGGTTCGATTTCCTACATGGGTACAATGTGTGAAGCCCATTTCTGGTGTCCACCGAAATAATACAATGACAATATACTGCTGGCATGTTGCTAAAAGCGGCATAAAATCAAACTAACGGTGAAAGAATATGTTGTTTGTGGGTTTCAATCCCAAAATCCCCCTGATTATTACCCATGATTCAACAGCATTGTCACGGGTTTAGCCTTAGTGGAAACATCTATGACAGTGTCAGTTGCTGCCAAGCCGTCCTTCTCCATAAAACGGGCGGAGGGGCGGGGTAGGTTGTGATGTTGGGGGTCAAAACAAATCTCACGTCTTCAATAGTTTAATAAGGGATGTCAGCGAAATGTATGTTTTATCTTTATTCTCACAGACAGTCGAATCAAAGAGCAGCACATACACGAAGTGACGGACAGGTTGAAACCAGGGAAGGTTGAGTGCTACCTGTGTGGTCCATCCCCCATGATAGCAAGTATAGAAACAATGCTTAAGGCTTGTGGCATCACTGAAACCAGCATTCACTACGAGAGATGGTGGTAGATGCTCTGGGATTGTATATTGGAGGAGTATCATGGCATTATGGAATTCCTATGGTATGTTTTATTGAGTTTTAAGCACATACCAGTTGTGCCCTTGACAAATGTAGTGATAATTCCAATGAAGTGTTGCTGTATTTGTCAAAGGAATTCCCATGAAGCTCTCAAAAACCTGAATAAAATCTTTGATCACTGAGCAGTCTCAATTCTTATTGATTTACAATTTCAGGTTTTCAGGTAACTGTAGTACTTTTCCCTTGATAATTCAGGGTGGAACTGGTCCCTGTACTGCATGCTTGTGGTACGAAATCATTGCTTTACTGCTCTGCTATTACTATCGGACATCTACTGGTCGCTGACACATAGCTACGATTCACGCCTTCATAAGCTTCTTCAGTAGATGTTGAATTTGCCCCGTCCTTCACAAGCTCCGTCACTGTACATTACAGAATATCATTTAACCTTATACCCCCTTGTTCCCGAACCACTTACCTTCAAGTACACCCAGTATTTCAACTGAAAATGAATTTTGTCAAAAGGACTGAACCTGTCAAAACAAAGGGGTCGAGTTTACTGTTGGGCCAATGTGTCTAAAATTCTTAACCTCGACAGAGACAGCAAACTCACAAAACTCAACTTCCATTTATGCTGTTTATGCTGTTTGCAAAGGCGATTGGTCAAATACTAAAACATAGTTATGCATACAGTAAACTACGGTTATAACGAACTCAAGGGACCACTAATTTTAGTTCGTAATAACCTTAGTTCGTTACAAGCATACGTAAAGCATATATGCAACAAATGGATACCAGTTCGTTATAAGGGTGTTCGTTATAAAGGTAGTTTTCTATACTTACAATTTGCATGAAAATCCTTTCCTACTGCAACAGGAATAATAGTAGATTATATGTGGATACAGAACACACACACCCCCCACCACCTCCCATGGGGTGTCTATGATGTCATTGACCTATGACCTCCATATGACCTGGCCTTGACCTCTGACCTCATTTGATATTTGTGAGGTCACACTATTGTCCTAGGTCAACAGTGAGTTGAATAGGTATTGTCCTTAGGTCAACAGGGAGTTGAAAAGGTACTGTAGTCAATCGCACCTCTGTCAATAAGGTATTGAGACCGAATTGAATAGCTATTTTAGGGGAGTTGACAGAATAACTCATTAATATGCAAATGTATGCATGACGTCACAGGTCAAGTAGGTTAATAAAGGGTCAACTGACCAGATGCAACCATGCAATTAATTACTTGACCATTTGTTAACCGTAGAACACGGGATAGTAATGAATGTCCCTATATGGAAATGTTACTACGACCGGGGTTGGGTTGGGTCTTGACGCAGAATGGAATGTCATTGTGAGTACATTTTTTTTTTTTGGGGGGGGGGGGGGGGGGGTCAACTGATCGGATGCAATCATACAGTTAATTACTTGACCAATCGTTAAACGTAGAACAACACGTGTCTAAAAACAAGGTGGCGGACGTTGGCATGCACGCTCACAGGCGTCACGTGACCTCGGTCAGACTTAATTTTTTCTGATACAGACTATACTAGACTCCGTCCGACAAGTTAAACGCTTGACTGCACCCTATACCATGGCCAGCCACCCACCAGTAGATGATATAGTCCGTTCTACATAGCGTATACATTTGTAAACACATCCAACTAAGCCTTATCTTTCTTTCTTTTTCCCCCTTGGAATTAGACACAGCATAGTTTTGAAGTACAATGGGAAACGGCGTAGTGTACCAACTTATTATTTTAATAAATTGAACCTTGATACTTTTGTATTGTGTTTCTTTTCTCCAGAGCTGAAGGTTGAGTCACGTGATTTATTAATGAGATGCCATTCTCCATATAAGAAAAATCATACTTTTGAGGCAAAGCAGGCGTAAAAAGTCATATCATCCAAAAATACCTCCCACGGTAGATATCCCTTGTGTGAGATCAAGCGATACCTCCTTGGAGATATCCCTACAAATGATGTCATTTGATTGTAGCAATATCTCCAGCATGACATCATATCGATTGTACCATCACTGTGACGTCACAATTGTCAAGCAGCAGCATTGTTCTGGCTTATGGCAGCCCAGAAAATGTCAATAAAACATTTACAAAATAACACTCTAAGTTACCTGAGTAAACTTCTTTTCCCTAGTATGAATAATCTCTTACAAGAAAAACTCCCTTCAGTGAATCTACAAGTAATGATGAACTCAAATCTTTTAATATGTAAGGACAGACATGCTTTCAGTAGATGTGTTTTGATTCATATGAATACAACGTTATGTTTTAAAACAATAATTGATGAATGAGTGTGACCAAAGTGAGGGCATCAGGTATTTGTGTATACCTCAAACCAAAATCTCAAAAAGCTTTCATCAAAAAAGATCTACGTCATCAAATGTTTAACGTTTGTCTTTTCGACCACAAGCAGAACATGGCCCATTTTATCAAATTCGATTTAAACACATCACACTTTTCACAGACAAAGTGGTCAAATTGGCTTTGACACCTCAAGATGATAAGAGGTACTTGTTGGCAGATGGGATCGAATCTCGACCCTATGGGTTTAATTCTATTTAGAAATTTGTAACTTCTAAGAAAGTATGACAAGTGTCGAAGCAAACAATGGTTACATCATCACGAAATGAAAATCTCGAGTGGGGTGTGATCCTTGAAATGTGAAAGATATTTATGTATTTTGTGTTTGGTTGTTTGGTTGTTTTTTAAATCATTAATTGTGAAAAACAAATTGGTAAAGTTCATAAAAGATATTATTTCTTAAAAACGTAAGCTAAGTTGTTCTTTTTATGACAGAAACATCAACTTGTATGAAACAAACTGAAAAACAAAAGTTTTTGTTTGATAGAAAAAAAATTAAACGAGAAAATAAAACTTGCATGAATAAAAATTAATAACAATGTAAATTTGTTTTGCGTGAGTGAAAAAACACATTCGTGCATCAAAAAATAAATAATGTGTAAATTTATATATGACAGAAAAAAATTTATTAACAAAGTATTAATTTTTTTTGCATGATAGACAAATAAAACTTACATAAGAAGAAAAAATAACATGCTTTGTTTTCTATTCACAGAATTAGTGGGGGGACAAATCAATTTGAAAACAATTCAACCCATAGATATATGACATGGGAAAGGGTACATTTGAATCTGCGTCTTGCCGTGAGAAAACTCACGAATAAATCCTCATCGTGGCTTCAGATTATTTAGTGAAAAAATATGTTGAAGTAAAATTTATATTTTTGGGCAAAGTCTTTATTAAGTCATAGACCAGACAAGGCCACAAGAAAGTATTGTATTCATTGACCATCCCACAAGGATGACAGATTGCAAGACAGTAACACTCTTGGTTCGTAGGTATCAACCGAAGCACGCAGGATTCACTGCATCAGATAACCACATTGGTGATGCAGGCTTTCCTCCATCCATAAACCTTGCCGCCGCGATATAATTGTAAAATTGTTGAAAACGGTGTTAAACCCTAACTCCCTCACTCTCTGATGCTTCTGTCAAGAATATATATTTGTTGTGAAACATTAAACAGAATCAGTCGAATTGAGTGAAGTGAGTGAATTATTATTATTCTAGTGATGCTTCGGACAAGATCACTGTCAGTCTCATAGAAGACTAACTTTTAAATATTCATTTTGTAGGTAGTTAACAAGTCTTGGAAAAAATTGTCAAGTCTGTACGGATCAGACAAATTACTCCCTCAAGTGGGTTATGGTCAAAAGAGATCACACAGTTTGGTCAATCAAAGCTCAATGTATATTCAGAAACAAAAAACAAGTTTGGAGTCCCTGGTGTAAAAAGATTAAAATACTTGGAGGTGTACTAAAAGAAACGAATAAAAATATTTTCACATTTGAGAACGAATAGTTATCATTTTACCTATTTTGACTTTTGTTCATGTTTGTCAGTTGTCTCAACAAGAAAATGACAATCAAAAGGAGTTGATGATTAATGATTTCCCTTGGTCTGTCATTCATGCTATCCTTCAAAGCTGCACCGATAAAGGTTGTTGTAATACTTTGTCAAATGATCAGTTGTCATAAATACTGATAATGAATTTCATAAATAGGCAAGAACCTTTTGAACTTTAAAGATAAGTTATACGATTAAGATTAGCAAGTTACAACAACCTTTATTTGACTATCATAACCAAACTAATGTCTTTTTAAAACAAAAACATTTTATTTTTTAATTTGTATAAACAACTTTTTACTTTACAGCAATCAAAAATACAATGTGAAAACTAATCATAATAATTTAAATACCTTGATCTAAAAAAATGTTTTTGTTATCGAAAGTATTTTGATTGATATCATGTTTTGGTGATAAATTTTGAGATTTTAAAGGGACACTGATCTAACGGACTGGTTGTTGCCTTTGTTATTGTTTTTCCCCCGTGAGTACCCGGATGATACGCAACGCAACTGAGCGTGACCAGAGACTGGGGTACTGTCTGCAAGGACAGCTAAATAAACTTGGAGGCAGGAGGCAATATTTGTTTTACGCATTTTTGAACACTGATTGGTTAACTGTGATCTATAAAGATTTCGACAAAGGGCGCATGTTAATTCATTTCTTCAGGCTAAACAAACAGACAAAAAGAACATATATATCTTTTAAAATATTTGATTGTTACTGAGACACGTGACATCGAATAAGTTTCTTTGTACAGCTGCAGACGAGTGGGATATTGTTCCTTTGTGTGGATATTCACGGATACATTCCTCGAACAAGGAAGCTGCCTAAAACTTATACACATAAATTTGGTAGGTTGTAATTATGATATCTGAATTTTGTTTTCCAGACCTTCATTTGAACCGATTCGTTCTTGTTTCTCTACGTCTTGGTTGGGAAATTCTTCAATGCGCGATAGTCGTTGTTGTCACAGGTCTTTTCCTTTGTAAGCGTGTATATATTACCGTCAATTTGTAAAATGTGATTCTCTCAGGCAATTTATAAAATGTGTAAATATTTCAGTCATTTTGACTAAAAAATCTGTCCAGATTGATCAAGACGATCAAAAGGGCCTACACACATCACAACAGATTATTATGTAGGATTAAAAGCCAAACAACTTAGAAATGTACTTTTCAACGTTACATTTTCAGTCTCTTGATGACATTAAACATCAAAATGTTTGGAATTCGTTGTCATGATAATACAGATGGAAATGTTTTTCAGTCACTTTATAAAATAACTGAATATTTAGACGTTTAATACATGTGTTACACATTTGACAGTAAAAAAATATACACACTATAAAAAAGCATATGCTCAGGTGAAATATATACGTTGTGTTGCAAGTCAAAATAGTGCAAACGAAAATCGCAAAATTACCAAGCAAGTGACTTATCAAAACTTCGTCACCATTGCCAATGCCACTCACAAAGATACCTACATTTCTTTATTATCTCGAAAACTGTATTTCATTTTGTTGATCAATGTGACCATACGCCCTTATTACTACCCATAAAAGTGACTAATGCGCTTACGAATGGCGCAGCAGAGGTCGCGAACTAGTCTAGATTTCTGCTATACATCCGGGTACTCACTGGGAAAAAACAATAACAAAGGCAACAACCAGTCCCGGGGAATTGCGTTAGATCAGTGCCCCTTTAATATGATTATGAAAATGAAACACTTCTCTTTTATTATAAATGTACATATATGGATTACAACTTTTTGATCGTTGAGTAGCCACGTTTTGATGTAGATTCTTACACCCATATTAATTAACCGCGTGATTGTGTTTGTATGTACTTTTACACATCAAAGCGATAATGAAAATACATCGTATTAATTTATATTCATAGAATACAAGAAGAGACGTGGTTCTTAATAATTCTCATTCTAATTGAAATTGAAATTTTAAAAATTGAAAAAGTAAACAAAGAAATTGTAAATTTTTTCAATTGAAAATATAAAACTCGGTCTCGTGAGAGAATGAATGAATGAATGAATCATTCATGAAGTTTATTTCACTTCTCAGACTATTTCTTGATGACCAAAGTCCGCTTTTTACAGCGGACTTTGAAAACTAAAATTGTTCATTATGAAATAATAACCCTTGGCTTAATTTGCAATTTTTTTTAATGAGATGTCCATATCTGTACACATCCGTAAATAAATACAAGAACAAATTTAAACACAGTGTAAGTAAACTTCTAAGAAGTAACGCTAAACACTCACCTAAAGATTTTTGGAAAGTCTGAAATCCAAACCTCGAAGCCCTGTAACATGTAAAGCGAAATAAGGCACCTGGCATTGACCTCATACAAAATGACTACTTAATTGACAGTATCGATTTCCTTGGATAGGTTTATGTAGATTTATTTAACATGATCTTTACCACAGGAACTGTACCCGATGTTTGGCTTACAGGAATTATTAAACCAATATATAAAAATAAAGGTGGCATATCAGAACCAGGCTCTTACCGTCCCATTACTATTCTTAGCTGCATTTTAAACAGTAGATTAACAAAATTCCTTGATAGAAACAAACTTATATCTTCTTCACAAGCAGGGTTTTGTAAAGGGTTGTCAACAATTGACAACATCTTTATACTTCATACTATTTTTAATATCCCCAAACACACGAAGAAGAAGCTCTTTTGTACTTTCATAGATTTCACCGAAGCCTTTGATAACATTTGGAGAGTTGGACTTTGGCATGAAATGTTGCATCATGGTATTTGAGGAAAATTTCTGACACTCGTTAAAAATATGTATGGAAATATATAATCATGCGTGTTACATAATAATGACATATCCGAATACTTTCTAAGTATGTCGGGTGTACGTCAAGGAGAAAACCTTTCACCATTACTGTTTTCAATATACTTAAATGATTTAGAAGCACATCCCATATCACATGATTGTGATGGTGTAAAAGTAGAATATGTCGGTGATAATGGAATATTATGTGCACAATTATTTCTTCTTCTATAGGCAGAAGATACTGTGTTATTCGGAACAAAACCCACTTTCTTTACAATATACTCTACAACATGGAAACTGACTGTTAACATAGATCAAACAAAAATTGTAATTTTCGGTTTAGGTGTAGCAAGACAAACGAAATTATCCTTTTATTTTGGAGATCAAGAACTCGAAATCGTTGGTATAAATGTCTAGGTATTCAATTTCATGGTGTTGTGTTTAGGGTGAATAGCCACATCCCTGGTGTAGATACAGTAGGGGGCTTCTCCATGTGGTCGTCACCGGGTCGCTAACACTGTTTTGACCATGATATGGTGTTGTGTTCAGGGTGGATAGCCACATCCCTGGTGTAGATACAGTAGGGGGCTTCTCCATGTGGTCATCACCGGGTCGCTAACACTGTTTTACCATGATATGGTGTTGTGTTCAGGGTGGATAGCCACATCCCTGGTGTAGATACAGTAGGGGGCTTCTCCATGTGGTCGTCACCTGGTCGCTAATACTGTTTTTACCATGATATGGTGTTGTGTTCAGGTTGATAGCCACATCCCTGGTGTAGATACAGTAGGGGGCTTCTCCATGCGGTCGTCACCGGGTCTGCTACATAGGGACGGGATGCTGCAACTGGCAGTCAAACAAAGCCCTCATCCACCTGCACACTGGGTGCATACAAAGGTCTGATTGTGCAGTTGACTCGTTTAGTAACATTTGTGTGGAATGTTTGTTTCCTGGAATAATGCTGCACGCAGTAGTATTCCAGCTATATGACAGCAATCTCTAAATAAATCTGGACAAGAATTCTACATATCTAAATCTAGAAATCTGTCAAGAATATTGCACTCATATAGTGACTTGTGTGTGGTGGGGAGGGGGGCTTCTTGTACATTCAGGACTAATGCTGGTTCTATAGCGAGAGCCGAGTGAGATACCATGCCATAGTTTAACAAGGGTACCCCACTAAGACACAGTATACTCACTCCGAGCCGACCAGTCCTTGTTTTAGCTCTGTATGGCCGAGCGCCAGGCAGGGTAACAACAAATACCATATTTAAACTACTTTTGGTATGACGCGGCCGGGAATCAAACCCCCGACCTTCCGCTCTCGGGGTGGACGCTCTATCACTAGACCACGGAGACGGTCATCGTTACTAAGTATCGTTATTACCTCATGGGGACCCGAGTTAGAAAAGGTCAACAGCAACCTATGCTTGTCGTACCCCACCCAGACACAGTCTGATTACACCGTGCTGACCGGTCCCTGTTTTATCCCCTTAATGCAGAGTGCCTAGGGTAACCACAAGTCCCATATTTTTACATCTTTTGGAACCACTTGTCCGGGGATCGAACCACAGACCTTTGGATATCTGAGCAGCCTGTGGTCAAAACAATTTGAGAACACTTGCCCAAACTTGTGCATTGGCATCAGATCCTGTTGGTTTTTATGTTGGGCCAAGAACAAAAAAATCTGTTTCAGGTAACATGGCCCTAACAGATTATTTATGTAAGGGTAATTATAATGTTTGACATGTACATTCATGTTTATTCTGATGTCAGTGGCAGTGTATGTCCTATTTGTTGGTCCAGCATCAGCAAAGATAATATACAGAACATTTAATCTGACATTTGGGTCGCAAGTGAAACAGTGGTTTGGTCAGGTTACCTGAAACAAGTATTTTCATGCCGACTAGACGAAAAAGGATTTTTTCTCTAGATTTGGAACTAGTGACATAATTTGTCGATATATGAATTAAAAAACTAATACATAGCAGTAGAAGTTAACCTGTAATCTTACTGGCCTGGACAGCAATAACACATAAGAACACCAAAAATCAGCCTGAAATTCTAACAGTCTTCAGAATAACTCTATCATTATCTCAGTGGGACTAACTGGGTAGTACAAAAGTCAGTTGCTGATTAATTTTTGATCAAAATTATCAGAAATTTTATCAGTGATGAACAGACATTGGCGGCAGCCATAAACTTTTTATATTTTGACTTCTTTTCTGAAATGACTCAATGGATTCATCTGAAATTTGTGTGGATGTGTGTTACTTCAAGGGGATTAAGTGTCTTCAAGGGATCAAAACTGGAATTTCAATATGGCCGCCAGATAGCCATTTTTGACTTGGAAACATAAGATTAAAAAGATCTTCTTCGCAAAAACTTAAAGGGCATGAGACTTGAAACTTTGTGAGACGATCACCTTATGTAGTACTCAGTTCGGTTCAAGGCATCTTGATCGTAAATCAAATATGGCTGCCAATGGCCTTATTAAAAAATGCAAAGCATTCTGAGTCATTGGTCATAAACATCTCCTCTTGATTGCACATTCTGATCAACATGATCCAATTTAATCATTAATGTACAGAGTCTGTATTCAGCAATTACCAATCAGTATCAGTGTAATAAACTTCCATTGAACTAATTCTGTTTTCGGTCTGACATACCAAGATTTATTTATGCATCTACCGGTATGCTTGGCTCATGTTTACCAGTGCAAGGTGGGGGCTCAAGTGGACCTGCGTGTGGGTGGCGACTACTTCTATGACCCTCAGCCAGGCGAGGAGCCTCCCACAAACCTGCTTTTGGTGGCGGGTGGGGTCGGGATCAACCCCCTCATGAGTATGCTGAGCCACGTTCATGATCTGCAGCAGATGGCGACGACACGCATCATGTGCCCAAACAAGGTCATCCTCATGTTCAGTGCCAAAACCAAGGAGGAACTTTTGTTTAGGGTATGGTGACAGTTTTCATTTACTTTCAGGTCTGGTTTTAAAGTTAGTATCGGTATTATATTTTTTATATTTAAATTATTCTCACAGTTCAACTGAAAATAGAATGGGGTTTAGTATGCAATCTGTATTTTCTCTATTAGACACCAGGGCCCACTTGCACAAAGCGATCTTAGCGCAAAGATGATCTTAACTCCCATACTTGAACACAGGCTTAAAATAGTCTTAGCGCTAAGATCATTTTGTGCACGTGGCCGGCCCCAGGGCATTTATTAATTTTGTGCAAGCCGTTGACCCGGCTTCTCTTTGAGGCCTGTTGTCTATTTTGTTTAAAGCTGGCACAGTGGCAACTCACTTCCTTGCCGAATCCAACATTCTATAGTCATACAAAGCATGCATTTGCAGAAAACTGTCAGTTGGATCTGTGGATTGCACTTCAGACTGCAGTCAAATAAATGTACAGATTGTTTCATCCTGTGTTCGAGGTGTAATTTCTACATAAGCAATACAGAACCTGGTGTAAAATGGGAATTAATTCACGTTTTGTTTGACATGAAATGCTTATCTTTGACGACTGAACATTTAGCCTATGATTCCTCTGTACACCACTTCATAGTGACGATAGATAGACACATATCTTGTTTCATTATGCCTCAAAGTGAGATTGACCCATGAGAGCAGAACTACTGACACCACACGAGCCCGTAAACCGTCATTGAAAATCTAATATGGTTGTTACTCACCAAATGTGAGACTGTATGCCAGTAACAGCCATCTTGGATTTTCACACATCCACCTCATATATTTCACATACAAATTCTGGTACATTGGTTATTCAACACTGTTTGTGTTTTTATATAATTAATTGTGATGTGCAAGGACAGACATTTTAAACAAAAATCCCGTTCATGACTTTATTGATAAAGACTATAGTTAAACATTTCCACAAGGTTTGCCTGCTAAGGCTTGAAGAGTAGTCTCCCTTTGATCCAGGCACCATGAGGGTTAAGGGTTGTTGGTGTGAAGTTTTTAGTTTGACATGATATACATGTGCAATAAAAACACCAAATAGTGAAAGCATTTCGGCATAATAAATTTGTGGTGGTGTCTTTAGTTGCTGTACCTGGTGTCATATTAAGTGAGCAGAATAATATTGGGCGAGGCGCTAATAAAACAAAATGAAACAAATGACAGTCGGACAGTGAACACAAGACCAAGCCAGGAGAAGTGTCAGTATAGTGTGGGAGGAAAGCCAGAAGTGATGCAGGCCTCACTCCGCTGAAACCCACAAGCACGGGTATGGTGCTGGCAAACCTAGAAACGTAATCTGGGCGAACCGGGATTCGAACCCACATTCGTGGGTTTCTGGCGTGCCAATGGGAAGCAACTCTGCACAGTGAATCTAGGTGACTGGGCCACCCGTGGTTATTGAATGTGGAAGTTCCCCTGATCCTGATTAAACATCATGTTCGTGTATCACTTTAAGGAAAATACTATTGCTGTGGTAATACGTGTGAAGTAATACAAATTGACCATTCAGCATTGAGACAGCTAAGTATGTTGAGTGAAATATATTTTGAGATCTTTTAATGATCCAGGTGTAAGGAACTTTTCTTGATAGTTCAGATTTCTGATACCCAGTACTGATATTTGATTTGTTTTTCAGAAAAGAATTGATGAATTATGCAATATGAAGTCAAACAACATGTCATCAATGTATTTCATCACAGAGGAGACGGCTGGGAAAGGAGACAACTTTGTTTGTAAGTTCGCTTTGTCTGTTAACATGGTTGACACGGTTAACATAATATTAAAGACTGTTTATCCCTTGAGTAACTGGGCCAAACCTTCAGTAACTGGGCCATCCCTTGAGTAACTGGGCCATCCCTTGAATAACTGGGCCATCCCTTGAGTCACTGGGTCGTCCCTTGATTCACTGGGCCATCCCTTGAGTCACTGGGCCATCCCATGAGTAACTGGGCCAAACCTTCAGTAACTGGGTCATCCCTTGATTAACTGGGTCGTCCATTGATTCACTGGGCCATCTCTTGATTAACTGGGCCTTCCCTAGAGTAACTGGGCCAAACCTTCACTAACTGGGTCATCCCATGAGTAACTTGGCCATCCCTTGAGTATCTGGGTCATCCCTTGAGTAACTTGGTCATGCCTTGAGTAACTGGTCCGAACCTTCAGTAACTAGGCCATCCCTTGAGTAACTGGGCCATCCCTTGAGTAACTGGGTCATCCCTTGAGTAACTTGGCCATCCCTTGAGTAACTGGGCCATCCCTTGAGTAACTTGGCCATCCCTTGAGTAACTTGGCCATCCCTTGAGTATCTGGGTCATCCCTTGAGTAACTTGGTCATGCCTTGAGTAACTGGTCCGAACCTTCAGTAACTAGGCCATCCCTTGAGTAACTGGGCCATCCCTTGAGTAACTGGGTCATCCCTTGAGTAACTGGGCCATCCCTTGAGTAACTTGGCCATCCCTTGAGTAACAGGGCCATCCCTTGAGTAACTGGGCCAAACATTGAGTAACTGGGCCATCCCTTGAGTAATTGGGCCATCCCTTCAGTAACTGGGCCATCCCTTGAGTCACTGGACCATCCCTTGATTAACTGGGTCGTCCATTGATTCACTGGGCGATCTCTTGATTAACTGGGCCATCCCTAGAGTAACTGGGCCATCTCTTGAGTAACTGGGTCATCCATTGAGTAACTGGGCCATCCCTTGATTAACTGGGCCATCCCTTGAGTATCTGGACCATCCCTTGAGTAACTGGACCATCCCCTGAATAACTGGGCCATCCCTTGAGTATCTGGGCCTTCCCTTGAGTAACTGGACCATCCCTTGAGTAACTGGACCATCCTTTGAGTAACTGGGCCATCCTTTGATTAACTGGGCCCTCCCTTGAGTAACTGGGCCATCCCTTGAGTATCTGGCTCATCCCTTGAGTACCTGGGCCATCCCTTGATTAACTGGGCCATCCCTTGAGTATCTGGACCATCCCTTGAGTAACTGGACCATCCCTTGACTAACTGTGCCATCCCTTGAGTAACTGGGCCAGCCCTTGAGTAACTGGACCATCCCTTGAGTAACTGGACCATCCTTTGAGTAACTGGGTCATCCCTTGATTAACTGGACCATCCCTTCAGTTACTGGGTCATCCCATGATTTGACTGGGCCTACCCTTGAATAACTGGGTAATCACTTGAGTAAGTGGGCCATCCCTTGTGTAACTGTACCATCCCAAGAATAACTTGGTCATCCTTTGAGTAACTGTGCGATCCCTTGAGTAACTAGACCATCCCTTGAGTGACTGTGCCATCCCATGAGTAACTGGGCCAGCCCTTGAGTAACTGGACCATCCCTTGAGTAACTGGATCATCCTTTGTGTAACTGGGTCATCCCTTGATTAACTGGGTAATCACTTGAGTAACTGGGCCATCCTTTGAGTAACTGGGTCATCCCTTGATTAACTGGGCCCACCCTTCAGTTACTGGGTCATCCCATGATTTGACTGGGCCTACCCTTGAATAACTGGGTAATCACTTGAGTAACTGGGCCATCCTTTGTGTAACTGTACCATCCCACGAATAACTTGGTCATCCTTTGAGTAACTGGGCCATCTTTTGAGTAACTGGGCCCACCTTTGAGTAACTGGGCCCACCCTTGAGTACCTGGACCATCCCTAGAGTACCTGGACCATCCCTTGAGTATCTGGACCATCCCTTGAGTAACTGTGCCATCCCATGAGTAACTGACCCAGCCCTTGAGTAACTGGACCATCCCTTGAGTAACTGGACCATCCTTTGTGTAACTGGGTCATCCCTTGATTAACTGGGTAATCCCTTGATTAACTGGACCATCCTTTGAGTAACTGGGTCATCCCTTGATTAACTGGGCCCACCCTTCAGTTACTGGGTCATCCCATGATTTGACTGGGCCTACCCTTGAATAACTGGGTAATCACTTGAGTAACTGGGCCATCCTTTGTGTAACTGTACCATCCCACGAATAACTTGGTCATCCTTTGAGTAACTGGGCCATCTTTTGAGTAACTGGGCCCACCTTTGAGTAACTGGGCCCACCCTTGAGTACCTGGACCATCCCTAGAGTACCTGGACCATCCCTTGAGTATCTGGACCATCCCTTGAGTAACTGTGCCATCCCTTGAGTAACTGGATCATCCCTTGAGTAGGTGGGTCATCCAATGATTTTACTGGGCCCACCCCTAGAGTATCTGGACCATCCCCTGAGATACTTTGTCATCCCTTGAGTAACTGGGCCATCCCTTTAGTTACTGGGCCCACCTTTGAGTAACTGGGCCCACCCTTGAGTACCTGGACCATCCCTAGAGTACCTGGACCACCCCTTGAGTACCTGGACCATCCCTTGAGTATCTGGACCATCCCTTGAGTAACTGTGCCATCCCTTGAGTAACTGGACCATCCCTTGAGTAGGTGGGTCATCCCATGATTTTACTGGGCCCACCCCTGAGTATCTGGACCATCCCCTGAGTCAAAAACAAAACCTCAGGTGTTTTCAAGGGGGGTAACATCTTGTTTCTGGTTTTGGTTTTTGATACAAAGTTCCCTTTCCATAAAAAAAGTCTATGTATTTGCAGATAAGTAATTAAAGAAGAGATTGGTGTACTAGTGTTCCAACCTATTTAATGATTTGTAACCAATCAGGTTGAGGAAGTGTGCTGTAAATCCTACCGCACACATTAGCAAACCTTTTTCACGGTACTTTCCATAGCCCATAGTAGCGGTCCTACTAAATAGCATACAGGGGCCTCCACTAGAAATCTCTTAATTGTTTCATAACAGCTTTAAATGCAGGTTAAGTAGGACTTCTTTCAGTATCAATACTGAGTTTGTCCCAGGTATTGAGGGAATCAATGTTAAATGTTCTTTTGAAAGATGATGTTCCGTTTCTCAAATTATGACTGGATTTGTCGGATACATTTGTTGGAGTCAGTCAGATATATATGATGACCATTGATTATTAATTATCTTATTAATTATAATATGTAATGATGACCTTAACATACGTCTGAAATTACCATAAGATCTGCATTGTTGCACTGCATTATGGGCTGTCAGACGTCTGATGAAACCTCCCAGACAAATGCGGTCATTTCCAGATCCTCTTGGACCTTAAATACTATAACTCCCTGGTAGAAACATGGAATAACTGATATTAATCGATGAACAGAAGAGGGCATATGGTAACCAGCGCTGACATGATTAGGACTCGGAAGGCCACATTGGATGCCTGTGTTATCTGACGTGAAAGGAAAGATGGGTGGCACTTGAGAGTTGTGTCCCTTTGCAAGTCAAGCATCGAGCTCCTCATAGCGATAGCCTCTTCGCGGAGCTCTCTATACTATCTCCGCTACCAGTCAAAGCTCACCACTGTGATAGGTGGCTACAACCATGCTTGGAGTTGAACTCGCAGCTGACCCGACCATCATGTTTACAAACAAGTGACCTAACACCTAATACTCTTACCCCTGATAGAATCTAGAACCAATCTGATAAAAAAACAAACAAAAAGGTAAATTCATTTGGTTGGTTAGTTTGTTGTTTAACGCCGCACTCAGCAATAGTCCAGCTAAATGACGGAGGTCTGTAAATAATTGTGTCTGGAACAGACAATCCAGTGATTAATGGTCAGTCGTTAATCTTTTTAAAATTCACTATGATGGCATTCCCAAAGACATAAAGAAGTATAACCACTGCTACATTTGGGCTATGAGGGCAAGTTTCAAGATTCTTGCAATGGCCGCGCCCACACTGTTATCAGGAATGTTTCCGGGAGTGTAACGAAGGTGTCGCTCACTGAGGAGGAACTTGGTCAAGCCTGATCCTGGCCACCAATTTCTCACTTCTTCAGTCCAAGATGGATAGTGCAATAAAGAGGAATGATGAAATGACACGAAAATCACCTTTACTATTTATAAATCTAGTAGACCGCCTCCATGGTCTAGTGGTAGAGCGTCCGCCCAGAGACCGCCTCCGTGGTCTAGTGGTAGAGTGTCCGCCCAGAGACCGCCTCCGTGGTCTAGTGGTAAAGTGTCCACCTAGAGACCGCCTCCGTGGTCTAGTGGTAGAGTGTCCGCCCAGAGACCGCCTCAGTGGTCTAGTGGTAGAGTGTCCGCCCAGAGACCGCCTCCGTGGTCTAGTGGTAAAGTGTCCACCTAGAGACCGCCTCCGTGGTCTAGTGGTAGAGTGTCCGCCCAGAGACCGCCTCAGTGGTCTAGTGGTAGAGTGTCCGCCCAGAGACCGCCTCCATGGTCTAGTGGTAGAGCGTCCGCCCAGAGACCGCCTCCGTGGTCTAGTGGTAGAGTGTCCGCCCAGAGACCGCCTCCGTTGTCTAGTGGTAGAGCGTCCGCCCAGAGACCGCCTCCGTGGTCTAGTGGTAGAGCGTCTGCCCAGAGAGTGGAAGGTATGGGGTTCAATACCCAGGTGCGTCATACCAAAAGACGTTAACAGATGGTACTTGTTGTTACCATGTCTGGCAATCAGCATAAAGGGGCTAAAACAAGGACTGGTCGGCTCGGAGTTAGTATACTGTGTCTGAGTGGGACATTCATGTTAAACTGCAGTATCTCAGTGAGCTATCACTATAAATCGGCATCAGTCCCGACTAGTACGCACGCACACACACACCAACATCGCTATATACCGGTAAGTGCAATATTCTGGGATGTGACTTTAAACCCAATTTCAGTACCTGCAAATCTAGTAAATATTGTGACACCATCAGTTCACCAATCGTCAGTGATTGCTGTTGAATGTAATTAAATAAGGTAACAAGTTACGGCATTTCATTATTTTACGTAACTGTCGGCTCGTGAAGAATGCTGATTCAGAAGAGACGTGTATGTTCTCCTTACTGAAGGAGGTCGGTGTCCAAGCTAAATCTGTCTATAAATGTGATTGTAGGGTTAAGTTTATTCTGGATTTGAAAGAAAAACTAGCAAAACCATCAACCTTCAAGGATGAATGAAGTTTATTACAAACTGAGCCAAAATTTACAATCACAATATATGTACAAAATTAGGACATTTCTACAATGCTAGCTGTCTGGCAATACATGAATGGTCAGTGTTAGCTCTTCGTATCAGAAAAAGATGGGAAGTTTGTAAAATCATCATTTCAACGATATTCCTGTCTATTGGAGACGAAAAGCTCCACCTCACTCTCAATATATTATATATTCAGATTGAATAATGGAAAAATAATTTTCTCTCAGAGAAAATTTGAGAAAACTGACTTAACTGTTAATATGGTGCCTCAGCAATGTCGCTCACCTCCATATGTAGGCAACAGGTTCAAATGTTGACAGCCACTTAAGAAATACTGTTGAAATATATACAGCATAAATACAAAATAAGCACAATGTATTGACTAAATGTTTACAGTGTTTCCAAGTCTGCAAGAATGAATGTTCTAGTGTAGAACATAGTTGCAATACACAATCAATAAATTTCCTTTAGAACACATAACACGCAGCTTAATCAGTGAGGATGTTTAACTGTTTGAAGATACTTGGCTAGTGTAGGATGTCCTCTCATCTGAGCTACACATTCAATGTCCTCATTACTGTCTGTTAGAAGTGTGAGGTCAGCTTTATGCTGCACAAGGAGGTCAACCACATCTCTATGTCCATGGAATACAGCTTTCATCACAGGTGTGTATCCTTCACTCCCTCTAATGTTGATGTTAGATGGAGACAGGACATGTTGTACTATAGCAGTGTTCCCCCCATGACAGGCAAGATGAAGTAAACTATCACCATCTGCATCCACCAGTGTGAGGTCAGCTTGGCTGGACACAAGGAGGTCAAACAAACTTTGATGTCCATTGACAGCTGCCTTCATTGCTGCTGTCCATCCATACTGCCCTCTGCTGTTGATGTCAGAAGTTGTCAGGACATGTTTTACAATAGCAGTTTTCCCACCCTCACAGGCAAGATGAAGTAAACTATCACCATCTGCATCCACCAGTGTGAGGTCAGCTTGGTTGGACACTAGGAGGTCAAACACACTTTGATGTCCACTGACAGCTGCCCTCATTGCTGCTGTCCTTCCATACTCCCCTCTGCTGTTGATGTTAGAAGGTGTCAGGACATGTTTTACAATAGCAGTGTTCCCACCCTCACAGGCAAGATGAAGTAAACTATCACCATCTGCATCCACCAGTGTGAGGTCAGCTTGGTTGGACACCAGGAGGTCAAACACACTTTGATGTCCACTGACAGCTGCCCTCATTGCTGCTGTCCTTCCATACTCCCCTCTGCTGTTGATGTTAGAAGGTGTCAGGACATGTTGTACTATAGCAGTGTTCCCACCACGACAGGCAAGATGAAGTAAACTATCACCATCTGCATCCACCAGTGTGAGGTCAGCTTGGTTGGACACTAGGAGGTCAAACACACTTTGATGTCCACTGACAGCTGCCCTCATTGCTGCTGTCCTTCCATACTCCCCTCTGCTGTTGATGTTAGAAGGTGTCAGGACATGTTGTACAATAGCAGTGTTCCCACCACGACAGGCAAGATGAAGTAAACTATCACCAGATATAGACACCAGTGTGAGGTCAGCTTGGTTGGACACAAGGAGGTCAAACACACTTTGATGTCCAGTGACAGCTGCCTTCATTGCTGCTGTCCATCCATATCTGCCTCTACTGTTGATGTTAGATGGAGACAGGACATGTTGTACTATAGCAGTGTTCCCACCCTGACAGGCAAGATGAAGTAAACTATCACCATCTGCATCCACCAGTGTGAGGTCAGCTTGGCTGGACACAAGGAGGTCAAACAAACTTTGATGTCCATTGACAGCTGCCCTCATTGCTGCTGTCCTTCCATACTCCCCTCTGCTGTTGATGTTAGAAGGTGTCAGGGCATGTTTTACAATAGCAGTGTTCCCACCCTCACAGGCAAGATGAAGTAAACTATCACCATCTGCATCCACCAGTGTGAGGTCAGCTTGGTTGGACACTAGGAGGTCAAACACACTTTGATGTCCACTGACAGCTGCCTTCATTGCTGCTGTCCTTCCATACTGCCCTCTGCTGTTGATGTTTGAAGGTGTCAGGACATGTTTTACAATAGCACTGTTCCCACCCTCACAGGCAAGATGAAGTAAACTATCACCATCTGCATCCACCAGTGTGAGGTCAGCTTGGTTGGACACTAGGAGGTCATACACACTTTGATGTCCACTGACAGCTGCCCTCATTGCTGCTGTCCTTCCATACTCCCCTCTGCTGTTGATGTTAGAAGGTGTCAGGACATGTTTTACAATAGCAGTGTTCCCACCCTCACAGGCAAGATGAAGTAAACTATCACCAGATATAGACACCAGTGTGAGGTCAGCTTGGCTGGACACAAGGAGGTCAAACAAACTTTGATGTCCATTGACAGCTGCCTTCATTGCTGCTGTCCATCCATACTGCCCTCTGCTGTTGATGTCAGAAGGTGTCAGGACATGTTTTACAATAGCAGTGTTCCCACCACGACAGGCAAGATGAAGTAAACTATCACCAGATATAGACACCAGTGTGAGGTCAGCTTGGTTGGACACAAGGAGGTCAAACACACTTTGATGTCCAGTGACAGCTGCCTTCATTGCTGCTGTCCATCCATATCTGCCTCTACTGTTGATGTTAGATGGAGACAGGACATGTTGTACTATAGCAGTGTTCCCACCCTGACAGGCAAGATGAAGTAAACTATCACCATCTGCATCCACCAGTGTGAGGTCAGCTTGGCTGGACACAAGGAGGTCAAACAAACTTTGATGTCCATTGACAGCTGCCCTCATTGCTGCTGTCCTTCCATACTCCCCTCTGCTGTTGATGTTAGAAGGTGTCAGGGCATGTTTTACAATAGCAGTGTTCCCACCCTCACAGGCAAGATGAAGTAAACTATCACCATCTGCATCCACCAGTGTGAGTTCAGCTTGGTTGGACACTAGGAGGTCAAACACACTTTGATGTCCATTGACAGCTGCCTTCATTGCTGCTGTCCTTCCATACTGCCCTCTGCTGTTGATGTTAGAAGGTGTCAGGACATGTTTTACAATAGCAGTGTTCCCACCCTCACAGGCAAGATGAAGTAAACTATCACCATCTGCATCCACCAGTGTGAGGTCAGCTTGGTTGGACACTAGGAGGTCATACACACTTTGATGTCCACTGACAGCTGCCCTCATTGCTGCTGTCCTTCCATACTCCCCTCTGCTGTTGATGTTAGAAGGTGTCAGGACATGTTTTACAATAGCAGTGTTCCCACCCTCACAGGCAAGATGAAGTAAACTATCACCAGATATAGACACCAGTGTGAGGTCAGCTTGGCTGGACACAAGGAGGTCAAACAAACTTTGATGTCCATTGACAGCTGCCTTCATTGCTGCTGTCCATCCATACTGCCCTCTGCTGTTGATGTCAGAAGGTGTCAGGACATGTTTTACAATAGCAGTGTTCCCACCCTGACAGGCAAGATGAAGTAAACTATCACCATCTGCATCCACCAGTGTGAGGTCAGCTTGGCTGGACACAAGGAGGTCAAACAAACTTTGATGTCCATTGACAGCTGCCCTCATTGCTGCTGTCCTTCCATACTCCCCTCTGCTGTTGATGTTAGAAGGTGTCAGGGCATGTTTTACAATAGCAGTGTTCCCACCCTCACAGGCAAGGTGAAGTAAACTATCACCATCTGCATCCACCAGTGTGAGGTCAGCTTGGTTGGACACTAGGAGGTCAAACACACTTTGATGTCCATTGACAGCTGCCTTCATTGCTGCTGTCCTTCCATACTGCCCTCTGCTGTTGATGTCAGAAGGTGTCAGGACATGTTTTACAATAGCAGTGTTCCCACCCTGACAGGCAAGATGAAGTAAACTATCACCATCTGCATCCACCAGTGTGAGGTCAGCTTGGTTGGACACTAGGAGGTCATACACACTTTGATGTCCACTGACAGCTGCCCTCATTGCTGCTGTCCTTCCATACTCCCCTCTGCTGTTGATGTTAGAAGGTGTCAGGACATGTTTTACAATAGCAGTGTTCCCACCCTGACAGGCAAGATGAAGTAAACTATCACCATCTGCATCCACCAGTGTGAGGTCAGCTTGGTTGGACACTAGGAGGTCATACACACTTTGATGTCCACTGACAGCTGCCCTCATTGCTGCTGTCCTTCCATACTCCCCTCTGCTGTTGATGTTAGAAGGTGTCAGGACATGTTTTACAATAGCAGTGTTCCCCCCCTGACAGGCAAGATGAAGTAAACTATCACCATCTGCATCCACCAGTGTGAGGTCAGCTTGGTTGGACACTAGGAGGTCAAACACACTTTGATGTCCACTGACAGCTGCCTTCATTGCTGCTGTCCTTCCATACTCCCCTCTGCTGTTGATGTTAGAAGGTGTGAGGACATGTTTTACAATAGCAGTGTTCCCACCACGACAGGCAAGATGAAGTAAACTATCACCATCTGCAGCCACCAGTGTGAGGTCAGCTTGGTTGGACACAAGGAGGTCAAACACACTTTGATGTCCATTGACAGCTGCCTTCATTGCTGCTGTCCTTCCATACTCCCCTCTGCTGTTGATGTTAGAAGGTGTCAGGACATGTTTTACAATAGCAGTGTTCCCACCCTGACAGGCAAGATGAAGTAAACTATCACCATCTGCATCCACCAGTGTGAGGTCAGCTTGGTTGGACACTAGGAGGTCATACACACTTTGATGTCCACTGACAGCTGCCCTCATTGCTGCTGTCCTTCCATACTCCCCTCTGCTGTTGATGTTAGAAGGTGTCAGGACATGTTGTACTATAGCAGCGTTCCCACCATGACAGGCAAGATGAAGTAAACTATCACCAGATATAGACACCAGTGTGAGGTCAGCTTGGTTGGACACAAGGAGGTCAAACACACTTTGATGTCCAGTGACAGCTGCCTTCATTGCTGCTGTCCATCCATATCTGCCTCTACTGTTGATGTTAGATTGAGACAGGACATGTTGTACTATACCAGTGTTCCCCCCCTGACAGGCAAGATGAAGTAAACTATCACCATCTGCATCCACCAGTGTGAGGTCAGCTTGGTTGGACACTAGGAGGTCAAACACACTTTGATGTCCACTGACAGCTGCCTTCATTGCTGCTGTCCTTCCATACTCCCCTCTGCTGTTGATGTTAGAAGGTGTGAGGACATGTTTTACAATAGCAGTGTTCCCACCACGACAGGCAAGATGAAGTAAACTATCACCAGATATAGACACCAGTGTGAGGTCAGCTTGGTTGGACACAAGGAGGTCAAACACACTTTGATGTCCATTGACAGCTGCCTTCATTGCTGCTGTCCATCCATATCTGCCTCTACTGTTGATGTTAGATGGAGACAGGACATGTTTTACAATAGCAGTGTTCCCACCATGACAGGCAAGATGAAGTAAACTATCACCATCTGCAGCCACCAGTGTGAGGTCAGCTTGGTTGGACACAAGGAAGTCAAACACACTTTGATGTCCACTGAGAGCTGCCTGCATCACTGCTGTCCATCCATACACCCCTCTGCTGTTGATGTTAGATGGAGACAGGACATGTTGTACTATAGCAGTGTTCCCACCACGACAGGCAAGATGAAGTAAACTGTCACCAGGTGTATCCACCAGTGTGAGGTCAGCTTGGTTGGACACAAGGAGGTCAAACACACTTTGATGTCCGTTGAGAGCTGCCTGCATCACTGCTGTCCATCCATACTCCCCTCTGCTGTTGATGTTAGATGGAGACATGACATGTTGTACTATAGCAGTGTTCCCACCACGACAGGCAAGATGAAGTAAACTGTCACCATATGTATCCACCAGTGTGAGGTCAGCTTGGTTGGACACAAGGAGGTCAAACACACTTTGATGTCCACTGACAGCTGCCTTCATTGCTGCTGTCCATCCATATCTCCCTCTACTGTTGATGTTAGATGGAGACAGGACATGTTGTACTATAGCAGTGTTCCCACCCTGACAGGCAAGATGAAGTAAACTATCACCATCTGCATCCACCAGTGTGAGGTCAGCTTGGCTGGACACAAGGAGGTCAAACACACTTTGATGTCCACTGACAGCTGCCTTCATTGCTGCTGTCCATCCATATCTGCCTCTACTATTGATGTTAGATGGAGACAGGACATGTTGTAGTATAGCAGTGTTCCCACCACGACAGGCAAGATGAAGTAAACTGTCACCATATGTATCCACCAGTGTGAGGTCAGCTTGGTTGGACACAAGGAGGTCAAACACACTTTGATGTCCACTAAAAGCTGCCACCATTACTGGTGTGTATCCACACATCCCTCTACTGTTGATGTTAGAAGGTGACAGGACATGTTGTACTATAGCTGTGTTTCCACCACGACATGCAAGATGAAGTAAACTATTACCATATGTATCCACCAGTGTGAGGTCAGCTTGGTTGGACACAAGGTCAAACACACTTTGATGTCCACTGACAGCTGCCTGCATCACTGCTGTCCATCCATGCACCCCTCTGCTGTTGATGTTAGATGGAGACAGGACATGTTGTACTATAGCTGTGTTTCCACCCTGACAGGCAAGATGAAGTAAACTATTACCATATGTATCCACCAGTGTGAGGTCAGCTTGGTTGGACACAAGGTCAAACACACTTTGATGTCCACTGACAGCTGCCTGCATCACTGCTGTCCATCCATGCACCCCTCTGCTGTTGATGTTAGATGGAGACAGGACATGTTGTACTATAGCAGTGTTCCCACCACGACAGGCAAGATGAATAATTCCGCTGCCATGTTTATCTTTCACTTTCAAATTTGATGTTGTCTGCAGTAACTTAAAACATCCCTCTGATCCTGTGTGTGCTGCAACCATGACAGGGGTCCTGCCATTCACATCAACAGAGTTTATAACATTATTCCCAGGTTTCCTGGTTAACAGGACTTTCAGGGTTTTTTCCAATCCTGATTTACAGACAAGATGGAAGATGTTTTGCATTCCCTTGTCCCTTGTGTTAATATCAGCGCCTTCCTGCAGCAGATACACAAGTATGTCAGAGCTGCCACTTTCAGCAGCTACCAACAAAAGTCTGTTCAGTGTCAACTGATGGTCATGTTTCTCACTCCTGCTGAACAGCCATTTCAATGCTGTCACATTGTTGCTTTGTGCACATCCTTCCATGGCCTCACTGATTTCTCCTTGAGTGAACTCTTCTCCAGTTGTGTGTTCTATATCTGTAATTAGACGTGCATTATGTCCAAGAACTGCCCAGTACAGAAAACATTGTCCTTTCTCTTTCTTGTGAAACCAAAGATGTTTTGTCCGATCACAATGAAGTTTCTTGAGCAGCTTGAAAACTGTGGCGTCTTGTTTGAGAATTGGATGTGTCACTGATTTAGAAAACTGTCCTTGTTTAATAGACTGTGTAAACCTTGTGGTAAGTAGGTCATCATAATTCTCTGAGACATATATCAAATGGAGATGATCATCAACTTTGGTTTCTTCAACCTTGTCACCTTGTACCCTTTCAAACAGAAAGTCATCACTGCAGTGCTTCAAAACAAAGATTGGACTGATATTGTACAAGGCACACGCACAAGCATCATAGATTGAAGAATGAGCAAAGCCAACAGTGTCTCCTCTTGTGAAGAATGTACCTCTCAAACCTTTAGCTGCTTTGTACATGCCTGAACGTGTAGCGTCAGACATCATCTGTAAAACAGTTTTGACCAGGCTGTCCATTTCCTTATCCTCACCTTCACTGTCTAACTTGCTCAGGTCCAATTTGTCTTCACACAGTAGCATCAGAACCAGAATGGCCGATCGGTCATTTCTCTCTTCAAGCAAACGCTTTAGCTCTAACCTGAGATAAAACAGTGGTTCCTTGAAAAATGATTTTCCATTTTTGTAGAAAGATGAAAATTCAAAACAAAGTTTACAAATAAGAGGGAATCCAAAGATATTTGAACAGATTTCCAGCTCACTGTAATCAGGTATATGTTGCATGGAGCAGTCACCGAGAGCTTTCCTATGTCGTTCAAATATTGTCTTTTTCTCTTTGTCAGAAAGCCAGTATTTATCTTGTGTGGTTAAATCCATTACAGTTTGACCTTTGAACAGTTTGAAACCCTCGTACTGCAGTTTTGCAAGTCCATCATGGAAGTTGTATGACTTTGATGTGAAGACAACACGAATATCTTTTGTTTGAAATTCTGGTTGACTCTGCACTTTCTTTCTGGATTTACCAACAGCATCACTATCTTTTGTTTGAAATTCTGGTTGACTCTGCACTTTCTTTCTGGATTTACCAACAGCATCACTATCTTTTGTTTGAAATTCTGGTTGACTCTGCTCTTTCTTTCTGGATTTACCAACAGCATCAGTGCTTTCATGCATTTCTGACTGCAGCTTTTCCGCACTCCCCTTTTGTTCTAAATGGAGGAGAAGGTTGTTTAGAAATGATTTCACCTGTGATGTATTCGCAGATAATCCAACAGTACCAAACATGTCATCTACTATGAGGAATACTCTGGGGTGGCTACTAAGACACTGGTCTAAGTCAAACTTCTCAATGTTGTCCACAAACACGACCTCGTAGCCTTTGCATCTATACTGTGAACCCAACACCAGAGCCATCGTTGTCTTGCCTTCTCCCGAAGCTCCGCAGATGGTCACATGTCCAAATTCCTTCAATTTTCGTTTCACGTCTTTGTAGGGTTCAGTTTGAAGAAAAATCTTCTTCGCCTCGTCTGTGCGCAAATCAAGGGTACCTGTGGAGGAATGAAAACTATTAACCATCCCAGCAAATACTTGGATGTTAAAATTAAACTACAAAATATTTGCTAACTACAAACATCTTCTTGTGTTAATCATTAGGGGGGTAAAATGCATCTGGATTATACATCACACAGATGTGTTCCTGACTTAGTGTACACAACTATATTCATATTTTATAGCCCTCTTCATTCAGTCTTGTTAATAATGGCAATGTTTGCCATTTTGCCAGTTTCAACCCTCTTCAACAAATTCAACCAAATTTAAATCTTAACTTTTAATTCGATACAATACCTCTCTGTGTTAAGCTCTTACGCCACCTCCATGGGAGGTCACATCATCAGAAAATAAGCACTGATCTGCTCTGAGAAGTGTTTAACAGAGTCTGGCACAACATCATTGTCAATACTTCTGGAGTTAGTATACACTACTCCATCACCCATCAGTACATGAGGGTGGCATTTGGGACAAGGGGAATAAAATTCTGATTGATGATCGGCACCACCTTCTCGCTGAGAATGGTAAGAGTCTTGCACAAGATCTAGTAGTTTACTGACCCTTCAGCCATGAACACTCACCTCTCCCAAGTGTTCCTTGTCCGGCCTGTCCAGTCATGATGTTCAGAGTGTTCGCCACCTGGGAGCCACCTGAAGGATGGTCACCTGTCAACACCAATATATCAGAAATCATCGGTAACCAACATTTGAATTGATCAGATATTCTCTTTACACATTGAATAACATCATTTAATTTTATTGCAGTGCTCAAGAGTGGAGTGTACATCATTTAGAAGTTTTAGGTTCTTTAGATAATAATCTTATCCCAGCAATAACAATTGCTGAAGATCAAAACATGTAAATCATGAATCAAGTTAATAAGCAACACATGAAGTTCAACAGGTAATAGCCAAGTTCATTATTACCCGAATGAGAGAAGGGGAGAGAGAGGTATGGGGTTCATTACATTTGATCAAGAAATAATAAATGGTCTTTGAGTTATGCTCCGGAAATAAACCCTGGCCTCATCTATCTGAACCTACACTCAATTTATTGTGATGGAAACCAAACGAAGAAATTTCAAAATTAGATACTGTGCAACATTTGATCAAGAACTATGGAACAGTCTTTCACAAACAGGCAGACATCAGCGATTCCAATATACCGCTACCACTTCATGGCGGGGATGACAAGTACGGAGTGTGATATTTGGAAGAATGGACAGACAGCACCGATTCCACTGCCTGGAAGGGATAACACGTATGGAATAAGTAATTTTTGCATGATGATTGCAACAGAAACAAGAAAGAAAGTTAACAAAGATCACATACCCGCATTATCCCAGCTGGTCAACAAAAAATAGTAAATAGTTTGTTCATTAATGACATATACCTGTTGCTTTAAGTCAGAGGAACTGCCCTTTCCTTTGCAACCCCATGAGGATGCATTATGAATTTGAAATGAACACATGTTTTTGCAAATATATTTCAATCTAGTGTGGGATAACCAATGCTTAGCACAACATACATTCTTGATGTTTCTAAATGTGTCCATGGAAACGGCAAAAATTAAAAAATTCAGAATCCTCAAACTAGCAAAAGGCACAAGTACCCATTGTGGTAAATGTGTGTAGCAAGTTTGGTGCATGGTTAAAAAGTTATTGGCCGTACAAAAGCTCGGACGGATGGATGAAAGGACAAACAGATGGAACGCTATATACCCCCCCCCCCCCCCCCCCCCCCCCCGAATTACTTTGTAAACAAGAATATAAAAGGTCTAAGTATAAGTCTCATCTTACCTTGTAGACAAGAAACAGCCACTTTATCAATGTTTCTAGAAGGCCCCAGAAATCATAATAAACCACCACACAAAGTGCCTCCACAACCTCATACCAGATCGAAGCACCTTGACCATCATTACACAGCACAACGCAATGTGCCTCTACAACCTCATACCAGATCGAAGCACCTTAACAATCATTACACACCACTACTCAATGTGCCTCTACAACCTCATACCAGATCGAAGCACCTTGACCATCGTTACACACCACCACTCAATGTGCCTCTACAACCTCATACCAGATTGAGGCACCTTGACAATCATTGCACACCACCAAGTAATGTGCCTCCACAACCTCATACCAGATTGAGGCACCTTGACCATCATTACACACCACCACTTAATGTGCCTCTACAACCTCATACCAGATCGAAGCACCTTGACAATCATTACACACCACCACACAATGTGCCTCTACAACCTCATACCAGATTGAAGCACCTTGACCATCATTACACACCACCACACAATGTGCCTCTACAACCTCATACCAGATAGAAGCACCTTGACAATCATTACACACCACCACACAATGTGCCTCCACAACCTCATACCAGATTGAGGCACCTTGACAATCATTACACACCACCACACAATGTGCCTCTACAACCTCATACCAGACTGAAGCGCCTTGACATTCATTACACACCACCACTTAATGTGCCTCTACAACCTCATACCAGATTAAAGCACCTTGACAATCATTGCACACCACCACACAATGTGCCTCTACAACCTCATACCAGATTGAGGCACCTTGACAATCATTACACACCACCACACAATGTGCCTCTACAACCTCATACCAGATTGAGGCACCTTGACCATCATTACACACCACCACACAATGTGCCTCTACAACCTTATACCAGATTGAAGCACCTTGACCATCATTACACACCACCACACAATGTGCCTCTACAACCTCATACCAGATTGAAGCACCTTGACAATCATTACACACCACCACACAATGTGCCTCTACAACCTCATACCAGACTGAAGCGCCTTGACATTCATTACACACCACCACTTAATGTGCCTCTACAACATCATACCAGATCGAAGCACCTTGACAATCATTGCACACCACCACACAATGTGCCTCCACAACCAGATTGAAGCAGCTTGACTCTAGCTTACATACTGAGAAACCTACAGGCCCTGGGGAGGATATGTACTAAATTTGAGGATGACTAATCAATGTGTGCATGCGTGCACGTCCGAGCTACATAACACTACTTTATTTTTCCTATATTTTTAAGAGATGGACATAATTCACTTGATGAATCAAATTGTAAATAGTGTTCCTGGGTAAATTATTTTAAAAATGACAAACAGGGTGACATTTTGGGGGGCAACAGTGACACCCACCTGTTCTTAATCTTTTCACTGGTGGCTGGCTCACTAGCTCAAGGTCCTCCTCGGTCTCAGCTGAACCAGCCAATACCAGGTGACCTCCAGGTTCCTCGTCTGAACTGACCACGCTGTTTCCAGAGTCATCCTCTGTTGTGAAGATTTCCCCAGCTGAACTTGCCATGTCAACATCAGAAATAGCCAAATGTCCTTGAGGCTCAGAAGTGTCCATGTGACCTTCAGACTGCTCACCAGAGGTTGCCATGGGACCTTCAGACTGCTCACCAGAAGTTGCCATTTGACCTTCAGACTGCTCACCAGAAGTTGTCATTTGACCTTCACACTGCTCACCAGAAGTAGCCATGTGACCTTTAGACTGCTCACCAGAAGTTGCCATTACCAGATGGTGTCCACAGTCTTCATCTGTACTGGCCATCACAGTTCTCTTCACATCGCCATGCACTATCTGTGAAAATGGAGGGGAATCTAATCAAGCTGTGACAATAAGTGAAGCCAGTCCGACATCATTGTGTCATGGGTACTGTAGCTCACCAGCTGTATATCAAGATTGCAGGTCATCATTTCAGTATCCCATTTGGGTTTTCATGGTTAAAACTTTACTTACAACACACTTTTTATAATGTCCTCTGTATTGAGCAGAGATTTCTTTGATTAAGAAAAGGGCTTTGTTGTTTATATTAACAAAAACATTGGTATTTTTTATTCTCAAAATGCATCTTCCTATCTCATTTATGAACACTGTCCATGATATAACAAGAGTACCACACGTTCAGAACCTTCTTCTTTGATGTAACATTTGAGGAGGTTCCAAAGAATTTGTGATAACTTCTTTGAAATGACCTCCTAATTTGTTTAATATGCTGACAAAAGAATAATGACTGCTATGTCATATTCCAAAGTCCTATTTCTCTGGTGTCTACAGACACCCAGAAATATTCACAGTAACTGTCCAAAAAATTAAAGACTATCTGTAAAAAAAATACATCCCACGTCAAACCAAGAATCTTTTTTTTAAATATAACGTAACCTAATATAATTGGTTGATTTACATTAGTTTTTTTTCTTTTTTATGGTATTATTATTGCATGTCTACCAAAGATAAATTCCAGATGAAGCCTTCTCATATAGTAATTATTGTGCATGCAAGGGTTCAGCTTTCTGTCTTGGGATTGCCGAGGGTCAAAATTCATTCATGGTTGTGAAACATACTTGCCAAAGTTCAGCTTCCTCAGTTTTGGAAATGATGAGTTTAACTGGGCTAAAAATACATTTGAAAGGTCATGGTCATAACGTAAGACCATCTCCTTGGTCTAGAGATAGAACGTCAGTGGTTCGATCCCTGGCCGTATCCTACCAAAAGACATTAAAAGAAGGTACTTGTCACTCAGCCCGACACAGTAAGGGGCTAAAACAAGGACTGGAAAGCTTGGGTCAGTATATTGTTTCTGAGTGGTGTATTCATGTTAAACTGCGGATTGGTATCTCAGAGGGTTAGCACTATAAAGCATTAGTCCGGAGTAGTACAACCACGCGAACATGCACATACATGCACACGCTCACAATTTGGGACGTGACGTTAAACACCATTTCACCTCGCATCAAAACATGAAGGTTAATCAAGGTCAAAATGTACAATATCAGAAAAACAGAACTTTTGAGTGTCTTGGCAGCCACATCAAAAATTGCATTTCAACGTCTTTAACATATAGGGATGTCATCAAGCTTCAGCTCAATCAGTGTCACACCAGAGAAGATATTCAGGAAGTAGACAGACAAGGACAAACAGACTGACCTCAAAATGGCGGCCGTGCTCAAAGTTTGATGAACATTTATATGAGCACTTGATAGGACTGAGATACAATAGCTTGTATGATTCATGCAAAGTTTCATATTCATAGGTTTGGCAGTCTAACGACAGATGGACCAACGGCGGCACAACGCTCATAAAATGAATTCAACATCCCTGTCTGAAATCTGCTTGAACATTTGGGTTTTCAAATCACTCCGGACGTTTTGTCTGCATGCCCACGTGTCTGTTACACAGACTCCGAATACTGTGTACATATATTACTAGCTGATTACATAATACTATACCAAATATACTCACGGAACACTACGTCGCGGAATACGTTGCAAGCCTTCAGCATGTTGAGAAGTGGTAGACTGGTACTTGAAACAGCATCCTGGTTGACACATCTAGCTGTACTTCCGTTGCAGTGCGCGGTAGAGCGAATCCTACTTTCGCTTTCACTTTCATCATCTTGCTCGATATACAGCAACAAGAAGTTCCCGTCCCGTCCTAAATATGATCCCATCATATCAATTGTCCTTCTCTTACTGCCATTTAAAGTTTTTTCGTGAGTTCATGTTTCTACACTGGCTTTTTGCTCGCTGTTCTTAAAGAAAACTGAAAAACGGGAATACCAAAACTATTAATAGCTTCGTCCCGCAGTGTATAGTAATAGTTAATTCCATTGGTTGTTATTACAGATACAGCCTGGTTCCCTTGGTATGCTACGCTGGCGCTAGACTATGCCAATAAAGTCTGATATCAGAGACGGGGCCCAGCTTACACTATGTAGCGCCAGCGCGGCATACCCGGGGAACCAGGCTGTTTCAACTTACTGAATGAAGAGATGGAACCCAGCTTCTGGCCAACACTCCACATTGACTGGTTCCCGTTTGTTCCTGCACGGACCAAAATTATATAGGCCCGTAGTTACTGAGAAGACAAATATCGAGAAAACAAACTAACGCAATCAGTAAACGAAAATTGCCAAAACACAAAACGCTTCGCCCCATTTTCCACAAACCTGTTTCCGTGTTTTATCTGTGCCGCATAATCGGCTCATGAAACGGGACTCGTTTGCGAAATTCATGCTTATTCATTGTCCAAACGACCTTCGAGGCGGATTCGATATTCGATTTATTGATACTAGTATCTAAAGTCATTAAGTGATATTAATATGTAGGGAGGAAATAGTAAAATGGCGCCCATAGCTAACAATCATTGTTGCCTAGGGAGTTTGTGGAAACAAGGTTTGTGCGTGATTTGTTGTCTCGCGGAAGTAAATATTTTGCCAATAACTGTTGAATTCTAAAACTTGTTGCAGCGTATCCATATATTTGTTCTTTGTTATAACGTGTGGTACATGCGGAATTATATGCACCGTCGTAGGTACACGTAGATAAAGTTAGTTCTACACAATGTAACATGGAAAATGTCGTCCGTTTACATTCACTTTCTATACCATAAGCACGGCCTTCAGAGAAACGTTCTATTTGTCGATACATAATATTGATCTATACCAGTCCACTTTTGGTAGGGATATTTGTATATTTCCATTATACACAAAACTCATTCTCATAATAATCATTGTTGCCTGAGGATTTTGTTTGAACAAAACACTTTTTGTGCGTGAATTTGTGTCTTGCGGAAACTATCTAGATTTTTTTATTGATTTTTATTATACATGAGATATAGACAATCATATGATTCGATTCCCAACATGGGCCGAAAGTGTGAAGCCCATTTCTGGTGTCCCCCGTCGTGATATTGCTAGAATATTGCTAAAAGCAACGTAAAATCATACTCACTCACTGATTCCCTATTGGTCCTGTTTTTCAGTGAAGTACAAGTCAGATCTTCAAAGCCTTAAACATTTGTTAAAACCACTTTAACATCAAGTGGGAAACCTTACTGACAGTTGCTGCAGATTTGAGCTGAGCAGGTCTACAGCTACATCAATGGTGACACCATGCTAAAAGCCCAATATTCCAGATGCCAAAACAACTATAATAGTTAATGTTGTGATTCATTCTAAAACTTAATAAATACATTTTGAACAAAGCCAGTAAGTGTACATCATATATCTGATATTTCTTATCTTCCAGCAGTAGGCTTGTGTTATCCTATTATTACAAGCAGATTCTATTTTTGACTTAACATAATGGGGGCGGTTTAGGTAGCCAAATGGTAAAAGCATTCACTCGTCACGCCGAAGACCCTGGTTCGATTTCCTACATGGGTACAATGTGTGAAGCCCATTTCTGGTGTCCACCGAAATAATACAATGACAATATACTGCTGGCATGTTGCTAAAAGCGGCATAAAATCAAACTAACGGTGAAAGAATATGTTGTTTGTGGGTTTCAATCCCAAAATCCCCCTGATTATTACCCATGATTCAACAGCATTGTCACGGGTTTAGCCTTAGTGGAAACATCTATGACAGTGTCAGTTGCTGCCAAGCCGTCCTTCTCCATAAAACGGGCGGAGGGGTGGGGTAGGTTGGGATGTTGGGGGTCAAAACAAATCACACGTCTTCAATAGTTTAATAAGGGATGTCAGCGAAATGTATGTTTTATCTTTATTCTCACAGACAGTCGAATCAAAGAGCAGCACATACACGAAGTGACGGACAGGTTGAAACCAGGGAAGGTGGAGTGCTACCTGTGTGGTCCATCCCCCATGATAGCAAGTATAGAAACAATGCTTAAGGCTTGTGGCATCACTGAACCAAGCATTCACTACGAGAGATGGTGGTAGATGCTCTGGGATTGTATACTGGAGGAGTATCATGGCATTATGGAATTCCTATGGTATGTCTTATTAAGTTTTAAGCACATACCAGTTGTGCCCTTGACAAATGTAGTGATAATTCAAATTAAGTGTTGCTGTATTTGTCAAAGGAATTCCCATAGGCCCTCAAAAACCTGAATAAAATCTGTGATCACTGAGCAGTCTCAATTTTTATTGATTTACAATTTCAGGTTTTCAGGTAACTGTAGTACTTTTCCCTTGATAATTCAGGGTGGAACTGGTCCCCGTACTGCATGCTTGTGGTACGAAATCATTGCTTTACTGCTCTGCTATTACTATCGGACATCTAGTGGTCGCTGACACATACCGTAGCTACGATTCAAGCCTTCATAAGCTTCTTCTTCAGTAGATGTTGAATTTGCACCGTCCTTCACAAGCTCCGTCACTGTACCTTACAGAATATCATTTAACCTTATACCCCCTTGTTCCCGAACCACTTACCTTCAAGTACACCCAGTATTTCAACTGAAAATGAATTTTGTCAAAAGGACTGCACCTGTCAAAACAAAGGGGTCGAGTTTACTGTTGGGCAAATGTGTCTAAAATTCTTAACCTGGACAGACAGCAGGGGGGGTGGGGGGGTGGGGGGGGGGGGGGGGGGGGGGGGGGTGCTGCTATGCGTGGTAGGATTTAAACGCCCAGGAACAGGTAAATGTAGAAAGATCTCCCAGATATTCTATTACGTTAATAAAGGGTCAACTGATCGGATGCAATCATCAATTAATTACTTGACCAATCGTTAAACGTAGAACAACACGTGTCTAATAACAAGATGGCGGACGTTGGCATGCACGCTCACGGGCGTAACGTGACCTCGGTCAGACTTAAATTTTTCTGATACGGACTATACTAGACTCCGTCCGACAAGTTAAACGCTTGACTGCACCCTACACCATGGCCAGCCACCCACCTGTAGATGATATAGTCCGTTCTACATAGCGTATACATTTGTAAACACATCCAACTAAGCCTCATCTTTCTTTCTTTTCAGACACAGCATAATTTTGAAGTTCAATGGGAAACGGCGTAGTGTACCAACTTATTATTTTAATAAATTGAACCTTGATACTTTTGTATTGTGTTTCTTTTCTCCAGAGCTGAAGGTTGAGTCACGTGATTTATGAATGAGATGCCATTCTCCATATAAGGAAAATCATACTATGAACACGGCGAAATGTCCCTTTTGAGGCAAAGCAGGCGTAAAAAGTCATATCATCCAAAAATATCTCCAACGGTAGATATCCCTTGTGTGAGATCAAGCGATACCTCCTTGGAGATATCACCACAAATGATGTCATTTGATTGTAGCAATATCTCCGGCATGACATCATATCCCTTGTACCATCACTGTGACGTCACAATTGTCAAGCAGCAGCATTGTTCTGGCTTATGGCAGCCCAGAAAATGTCAGTAAAACATTTACAAAATAACACTCTAAATTACCTGAGTAAACTTCTTTTCCCTAGTATGAATAATCTCTTACAAGAAAAACTCCCTTCAGTGAATCTACAAGTAATGATGGACTCAAATCTTTTAATATGTAAGGACAGACATGCTTTCAGTAGATGTGTTTTGATTCATATGAATACAACGTTATGTTTTAAAACAATAATTGATGAATGAGTGTGGCCAAAGTGAGGGCATCAGGTATTTGTGTATACCTCAAACCAAAATCTCAAAAAGCTTTCATCAAAAAAGATCTACGTCATCAAATGTCTTTTCGACCACAAGCAGAACATGGCCACATTTTATCAAATTTGATTTAAACACATCACACTTTTCACAGACAAAGTGGTCAAATTGGCTTTGACACCTCAAGATGACAAGAGGTACTTGTTGGCAGATGGGATCGAATCTCGACCCTATGGGTTTAATTCTATTTAGAAATTTGTAACTTCTAAGAAAGTATGACAAGTGTCTAGACAAACAATGGTTACATCATCACGAAATGAAAACTTCGAGTGGGGTGTGATCCTTGAAATGTGAAAGGTATTTATGTATTTTGTGTTTGGTTCTTTTTGAAATCATTAATTGTGAAAAAAAAATTCTTAAAAGATATTATTTCTTTAAAACGTAAGCTAAGTTGTTGTTTTTTATGATAGAAACATTAACTTGTATGAAGCAAACTGAAAAAATAAGTTTTTGTTTGATAAAAAAAAAATTCAACGAGAAAATAAAACTTGCATGAAAAGAATTAATAACAATGTAAATTTGTTTTGCGTGAGTGAAAAAACACATTCGTGCATCAAAAAATAAATAATGTGTAAATTAATATATGACAGAAAAAAAAAATTATATTAACAAAATATTTTTTTCTTTTGCATGATAGACAAATAAAACTTACATAAGAAGAAAACATAACATGCTTTGCTTTCTATTCACAGAATTAGTTGGGGGGGACAAATAAATTTGAATACAATTCAACCCATAGATATATGACATGGCAAAGGGAATGTTCCCGCGAAGAGACGTTTGAATCCTACACCAGACAAGTGGAACATTTGAATCTGAGTCTTGCCGTGAGAAAACTCACGAATAAATCCTCATCGTGGCTTCAGATTATTTAGTGAAAAAATATGTTGAAGTAAAATTTATATTTTGTGGGCAAAGTCATTAATAAGTCATAGACCAGACAAGGCCACAAGAAAGTATTGTATTCATTGACCATCCCACAAGGATGACAGATTGCAAGACAGTAACACTCTTGGTTCGTAGGTATCAACCGAAGCACCCAGGATTCACTGCATCAAATAACCCCATTGGTGATGCAGGCTTTCCTCCATCCATAAACCTTGCCGCCGCGATATAATTGTTGAAAACGGTGTTAAACCCCAACTCCCTCACTCTCTCATGCTTATGTCAAGAATATATATTTGTTGTGAAACATTGAACAGTATCAGTCACATTGAGTGAAGTGAGTGAATTATTATTATTCTAGCCTTGGAAAAAATTGTCAAGTCTGTACGGATCAGACAAATTACTCCCTCAAGTTGGTTATGGTCAAAAGAGATCACACAGTTTGGTCAATCAAAGCTCAATGTATATTCTGAAACAAAAGCCAAGTTTGGAGTCCCTGGTGTAAAAAGATTAAAATACTTGGAGGATTACTAATAATTCTCATTCTAATTGAAATTTAAAAAATGGAAAAAGTAAAATAAAGAAATTGTAAAGGATTTTCAATTGAAAATACAAAAAACCCGGTCTCGTGAGAGAATGAATGAATGAATGAATCATTCATGAAGTTTATTTTGAAACACTTCTCACACTATTTCTTGATGACAACTAAAATTGTTCATTATGAAATAATGAACCTTGGCTTAATGTGCCGGCTAAAACTAACTTGTAACATAATATTCAATCTTACATACAGGCTTGACCCCAATTTTTTTCTATGGAGATGTACATATCTGCGAGCTTTGACTATTGTATTCAACAGGGCAAATCTGTTTGCATGGTTAGGTTCATTGACGGAATGAATCCGATGGGTCACACCTGTAGACAAGTGATCTTTCCAGTTTCACATGATCCCTGAAAAAACGTCCATAGGTAAAGGAAACGATAACACTAAACTATAAATGAGATGGGTCGATTTATTTACAGGGACTTGAAGGTACATACGGTTATAGGGAAGCCATGTTTTCTATGGGATAAGAGAGACGTTAAACTAACTTACGGGAATGGAAGCTGCAGTTAATTATGATTTAAATCTGAGAATCAGGTATCAAAAAGATCCCTTTAAGACCTTTAAGGTAAATGAAGTGTGCATTGTCAAAACACAAAACATAAAACACAAACATGATCACAACACGTGTAGTAAGCCCTGGTTTGTATCTGAGTGCAGACTGATGCGCAAGTCATATAATAAGGCAAGAAAACGTTACATTTTCTCCAGTTTTAACAAACAGAAACTCCTATCTACAACAGGCTAAGGCATACAAAAGATGTTTAAATAAATACAAGAACAAATTTAAACACAGCGTAAGTAAACTTCTAAGAAGTAAAGCTAAACACTCATGTAAAGACTTTTGGGAAGTCTGAAATCCAAACCCCGAGGCCCTGAAACATTTAAAGCGAAATAAGGCACCTGACATTGACCTCATAGAAAATGACTACTTAATTGACAGTATCGATTTCCTTGGATGGGTTTATGTAGATTTATTTAACATGATCTTTCCCACAGGAACTGTACGCGATGTTTGGCTTACAGGAATTATTAAACCAATATATAAAAAAAAAGGTGGCATATCAGATCCAGGCTCTACCGTCCCATTACTATTCTTAGCTTTATTTTAAACAGTAGATTATCAAAATTCCTTGATAGAAACCAACTTATATCTTCTTCACAAGCAGGATTTTGTAAAGGGCTGTCAAAAATTGGCAACATCTTTATACATTATACTATTATTAGTATCCCCAAACACACGAAGAAGAAACTCTTTTGTGCTTTCATAGATTTCACCGAAGCCATTGATAACATTTGGAGAGTTGGACTTTGGCATGAAATGTTGCATCATGGTATTTGAGGCAAATTTCTGACACTCGTTAAAAATATGTATGGAAATATAAAATCATGAGGAACCTAGAGAAGAAAGAGTTTCTACTGTCTGTAAACATGGTTATATCGAAGATGAGTATCACTTTATTTTAATTTGTGATTGTTATCAAGCTTTGAGGTCAGAATATATATCCTTGCATTATTATGAGTTCCCGACAAGACATAAGTACAATATTATAATATTCTGAAAGCTATGAACCTAAGGCAACGTCTGTTGGGATCTCCAACTCCCATCACCACACTGTAACCATTGTATCATGGGCCTATGGCCTACAATACATCTGAATAAAGTTAATGACTGCAAAAATCATGCGTGTTACATAATAATGACATATCCGAATACTTTCTAAGTATGTCGGGTGTGCGTCAAGGAGAAAACCTTTCACCATTACTGTTTTCAATATACTTAAATGATTTAGAAGCACATCCCATATCACATGACTGTGATGGTGTTAAAGTAGAATATGTCGGTGATAATGGAATATTATGTGCACAATTATTTCTTCTTCTATAAGCAGAAGATACTGTGTTATTCGGACAAAACCCACTTTCTTTACAATATACTCTACAACATGGAAACTGACTGTTAACATAGATAAAACAAAAATTGTAATTTTCGGTTCAGGTGTAGCAAGAAAAACGAAATTATCATTTTATTTGGGAGATCAAGAACTCGACATCGTTGGTATAAATGTCTAGGTATTCAATTGAACAAAAACAGAAGTTTTATCTATGCTATTAAAAGTTTAACTGCTACAAAAGCAATGTTTTGTCTACTGAAAAGAGCCAGAAATATTAAATTGCCACTGGATTGCTTACTAAAGCCTTTCGATGTCATGATTGTACCAATTTTAATGTATGGGGCAGTAGTATGCAGTTATGAGCAAGTGGATATCATTGAAAAAGTTTGCTTAACAATTCTTAAAAATTACTACAGGGTTACGGCAACCAACTCCCAGCTTCTTTCTTTATGGCGAACTTGACAGAACTCCACTTAAAATGCAGATCTGCAAACGAGTTAAAAGCTTTTGGTATAAGCTTAATACTCCAACTGATAATATGAAACTCTCTCAGATAATGTATAATTATATTAAACTAGATAATAATACAAGTAGAGATTGCTGCAGAGCATCAAAAGCTCCCCGCAATATAATGTTATGTGCAGAGGAAGGAAGTGTAAGCTATGGGAGGAGAGAATTTGTGTTAAGTACAAATTGGTTGTTATTAATGTACTTTTCTTTGGAAAGCACAATAAAAGAAACAGTGTCCTTAATCGGTCAGCATAAAGAAAACCCCGGCAAGAAAACTGGGCCTGCCAGGCAAAACTTGATATATACCCACTATTAGTACCAATAAAAAAAATCCTATATAGATAACACAACAAATGTCATTCTAAAGCATGCTTTTGCAGCAAATATCAATATTTCTGGTCAAAATGTTGGTTGGGTTAAATAAAGCAAACTTTTAAAATAGTAAACACAAAAAATGTAATGAATCCACTCTAAATATACTGCAGTTCAAATAAATTGAAAAAATTGTAGATATACAAAAACACCAACCCCATTTGAACAACGTCTCTGTGAAACATGTGATGTCTCAGAAGATGAACAACATTACACACTGTCAAACATAATACAACTAAGAAAGAGAGTCACAAATAATCCCCAATCATGAAAAAGAATTTGGTACACTCTGTTAAAAGGAGCAGATTCTTAATAAGTTTACCAACAGTTATCCAGAAACAACTTCCAAGATCTGTTAACATATCAACAATTACAAACAAATTCCTTGTACATGTATGTACCACATTACCATAGTTTTGCTCAATTCTCATATTGTTTCCATATAATTATAATACACTTGTTTTAGAAATTAAATTGTTATAATGTACCTCTTTTGAATGTTGAATGTTCCTGTGTTTTTTAATTGTCGTTTATTGTGCATGTATTTTGTAGTTTGTGATTGTGTAATGTTGCCACTGTTTCTTCATGGAATGTTCCGCAATACATATCTCATCTAAAACATCTTTGTTGTATAATAGTTTC